CGGAATGGCACAGAACGGAAAATGGTAATTAAATCGCAAAAACAAAGAGTCGTGCTTTACCAACTCCTGGGTGTTTCAATGAAGAAGAAGTAGGAGAAACAAGTCTGACGGTCTGGTATTCGAACGAAATTGTGGTTGTTGTTTCCATAACGGATCGTCTCAAGGGTTGTTGGCAGGGCGGACGGCTCACGCTGGCAGGGCCTTAGCCCCCCCCCCTACCACCACGGAGACTCCCTCGCCAGCTCCAGCACTCAACACGGCAGCCTCGAACTACAGCAGCGGCAGCGGCGCTTCTTAACCCCTCGCAGGCCGTGGGCACGGACACGGCGTGGACACCGTGCAGGAGAAACTTGTTCGAATGTTGTCCCCCCCCCTTGCCCCACCGGTGACACTTTCTTGTCGCGGTGACGAAACGCACGGAGAGACACAGCGAGAACCACGCGTCGAACACAAATGAACGCGAATACAGCGATGTCAAACTGTGAAAACACATGCCTTACTAACACGAAACTAGCACTGACACGCAAGGCTGGGGAGGGGGGGTGGGTAATGCCTTGCTAACGAACGCCGCGTTGACTGGAGGCATGGACCTTTGACCTCCGTCGATCGTGGCCTTCGTCGCCTGAGTTGGGGTTTTTGGGCTAGGAGGTGGGCGGTGGGGGCACAGGAACCATGAGGTCTTGCTTAGTGGAGGGGGGGGGGGCGGGGTAAGAACCACTGCCCCACAGCGCTACCTCCAGCAGGCCACGTGGCAGAACGTCACCGTTGGTGAAGCCGTGACCTGCGCCAACTTGCGCTGACCTCCATTTCAATGCAGATGACTTCAAAGTTGTGTGCTTTTAAGTCGTCCAGATTGAGAGCTCATTTCTTTAGAGCTGCTTTTTTCTGCCTACTTTGTTGTCCTTCTCCCGCACCTCCGATTAGCACGGTCGGCTACGTACGGTGTGAAAGGAGTTTAACAAACATCTACTCACAAACACATCCATAGGCTTACCACACAGAGACCCAACATACGTACGTTCAGCTTCAGCCGTGCACGGCAAACTGGGCCTTTAAGCCGTGGTCCACGCGTCCATTGCTGACAGCACCAAACCAAATCGAAGATTTGACAAAGACTCAAACGCATCCGTTTATAACAATGTGACCCGAAAAGAAAAAAATATATATAATGGGCAACGTTTTGGGAAATGGACCTTGTTCATAGCACACGAACAAGCCAGAGAGACCGAGCTAATGCGAGCTGAAGTATGACCAGTCTCAAATTGGCACACGATAGGTTGCCCATTCGTAGATAGCGAGTGACAAGTGAAGAATGTAAACTGATCAAATGGAATTCGTTCATCTATTCAGGGCCACAGTGTTGTTGACGAATGTGTCCGGTTTTTCATTTGTGCTTGCGCACCGCTGCAACGTCACAAACGATGCGTTGAATATAATGTTTAGATCGTTGAAAGCCAATAGGCTATTACTCACTGTTCAAGGCTGCACTCCGATCGCGTTTTGTATTGTTCCTTATTGTAAATTTCTGACCCAAAAAAACCCCTACTGGACACCTGTGGAAAAAGAGCTTCATAGATCATCGAATTTATCCAGGATAAACAAAGATTCTGATTCTGAAGTGACCGTCCACGTGTATCGGAGTGAAAGGCAGTGAGGCGACACTGTAAACCCGTTGCCCCCGTGTTTAGTGCGGTTGGCTAGGCAGGGGTGTGAACAAAGTTCAACATGTGTACGTACGTACGTGTGTGTCAGCACCTGAGTTTCCGTCAGACGCTCATGAAGAGGAATATCCAGCCCCCTGAAAAGAGAGAACGGTTTTGTGTTTGTAGATGCAGGTCTAGGCTACGTCTCCCGTGATGTCGGTCGCGGATGGGAAATCGTCGGGGTCAGGTCGCGCCAAAGGGCGACTTCCCGCTAGAATGTGCACCGAGGCGTTGGTGCCCGCAGCTCCTGTTCACAGTCCCGCAGAGCCAGCGGTGGGGAATTCCACATTCCGAGGACGACCGCTGTTGACTTCCCAACAGAGCTGCCCGAATGTCATTGATCCCCGGAGGGACGATGAGCTGTGGCAAACCCCCAAGCAGGATTTGAACTAGTAACCTTTTTGATTGCGAGCCTGCTCGCAATCGCCAGAATCCACATCGTCGTCCCCCCAACGCCGTGTCGCTGCACGGCGACATACGAGGGTCGGTCAAAAACTAGTGCGGGGACTACTTTCGGTCTTAGACAAAACTAAAGGCCGAACGCTGTGCTCGGCCAGAGATTTCTGCATGGACGGTGCTCAATGTGACGGCGTGATGTCCCGATGAACAAGGTCCACGCGCCCGACTCCCATTATTCAGGCCGTTTCCGTTAAACTGCATCCCTTAGGCGCATTCGAAACGGCCAAATAAAACAACCCGATTCGCTGCCTTGACCCCCGTGGAATGACCAACTCACGGTGCAACAACGCCTCGACTGTCGGAGAAGACAGTCGAGGTGTTGTTGACATTCGCGCGCGCCTGTCTTGGCTATCGTCGAGGTGACAAAAGGATCCTCTGCTGAGATGACCCCATGGTCTGCCTCGTCTTGGGATTGTAGAAATGAAACCAAACCTCATCACCTCACCCACCCACTGACTCACCTACTCGGTCGCTCGCTCGATCACTCACCCACTCGCTTGCTCACCCACTCACTCGCTCGCTCACCCAGTCACTTGTTCACCCAATCACCCACTTGCTCACTCCCTCGCTCACCCACTCACTCACCCACTTACTTGCTCACCACTCGCTCACCCACTCACTCACCCACTTACTTGCTCACCACTCGCTCACCCACTCACTCGCTCACCCACTTGCTCATTCAACCACTCACTCCAGTCACTCGCTCACCCACTCAACCACTCGCTGTCCTGCTTTCTGTGATCGAGGTGACGTCGTCGTCCACGGAGATGACTCTGTCTCGGGATAGAAGCCATGAACCCAAGTCTCATCACGTCTCATCACCTCACCCATTCACTCACTCGCTAACCCACTCGCTCACCCACCCGCTCACTCACCCACTCGCTCACCCACTCACTCACTCACTCACTCACCCACTCACTCACCCACGTGCTGTCCTACTTTCTTTGGTCGAGATGACGACGGCGTCCTCTACCGAGATGACCCGGCGCTCCGTTTCGGAATAGAAGCCATGAACCCAAGCCTCATCGCCTGGTTCCTCATCCCACCGTATTCACCAGATTTGGCACCAAATTTTTTTTTTCCCCGTTCCCTAGATTGAAACGCATACCCTAAACGGAAAGAGCCTTTCAGGATGTTCCCAACCAGTCATACAAAATGCAACTCGGGAACTGAAAGCCATCGCCCGTACCAGGGATGCATCGGCACATAGCAGGACCGCTGGAATCACCGTGCTCGATCAGGAGGAGACTGATTTGAAGGAGATCAATTTGATTCGGTATGTCGTCCTTTAGTTTTGTCTGAACAAAAGTAGTTCTGGTACTTCTTCATCAATCCTCGTACGCTGCCGTACAAGGCACATGCAGGCGATTGAAGTCAAGAGCAGTGTAAGCTGGACGCACTGCAAATTGTCAATACGTCTACGAGCGCTTACAAGTTGGGGCATCCTCGCGATCCGCAGTGGCGCGTGGATGCCAAACAGCAGATCCACGCTTAAGATAATCCAACACAAACGAAACCTTTAAGTCTATAAGTGCGTTGCTATTAGGGACTTTTGCCCTGTAGGAAACTGGTCAAGTCCAAAGGGTTGGCCAAAAACTTGGCAAGGAAAAAAAACTTGGCATTAGATGGATCACATAGTAAACCACTGGAGTTTGCGCTCCTTCAATGGAGGAGGAAGAGCGAAACTACACAAAATCTTAACTCCTGAAGCCCTCTCGCCGTGACCAGCACGACAATGGCATCGAGTTCCTGAAACGCATCACCGCTGCCATCACAACGCGCAAGACTGGAATAAATAGAATTTACACGCACGGGTGTAGTGACATCGGCGGTATTATATCGGTCTCCTGTTCTACCGTAACAAAAACGAGCGAATCAAGGTCAGGCAGTCTCGTCTGCGGCAAAGCCCAAGCCACCAAACTCATCGCCGACGAGTGCACCAACCCGTGAATGCACACCCTGGCGTCATCGCAGCAATCCACACAGCGTCTACTGCCGCCTTGGATCGGTTGAGGGACCTCGACGTTCAACGATGACATCATCTGCACAACCTGTCGCCCACGTGCCATCTGGAAAGAAGAAGCCTCGTCCGGCGCTCTCGCGAAATGCGCTGGACGTCGACGGGGCCGGGTTGGCGGCAGAGGGAGGCGGCTCGCAACCGTAAGGTCGAGAGTTCAAATGCTGGCTGGGCAGGGTTGACTCGGCCCATCCTCCCCCCCCACCCCCACCCGGGAGGATCGATAACGCCGTGTCTATTCACGGGGCAACGGCGGGTATGGACTTGCTTTCGCCGTAGAAATGTGTGTACGCATTTCCACCACTGCCGTCTCGGGGCTGTAGATGGGAGATTAGCACCATTTCCATCGCTCGTTCCGAGCAGGAATCGTCGACATTTATATATTTTTGGACCGTACCAAAAAACAAAAAAGGCCCTTAGCTGATTTTTTATTTCGTTTCTCTTTCGTGGAGCTCTGCGCCTGCGCTAGGCAGGCGGGGACATCACAGGCAGCGCGTGTAAACCATTCACTATTTTTTTATTTTATCAGGTAAGGCCCACTGAGCTAAACAGCTCTTTTTTGGAAGCGACCTGGCTATCACAAATAATATATCAACGAAGTAGCTTACTCTTAGAAATGCGTGACGTTTGATTCTAAATGTGGAGGTAAAACCGGAGGACCTGGAGAAAAATCCACACGACCATGGGCAGAACATGCAAACTCCAAATATAGAGCAGGCGTCGGGGTCGGGATTGAACCCACGACCTTCTGCACGATTAACACGTAGGCTTTCGTGACCAATATTATTCATAATAAAGGTTTTTTGGGTTAGATGGTGTAATGTGTCGTGAACCCACCACCATCCGATACAGCCAATTAGTAAGGTTTTTCACGTAAACAAAACATGCCAATTATAATTACTAGTTCAGCACACCGGTGTGTAGGAGAGTAAACCCACAAAATTGACAATTTGAATACTACGTTTGGCTGGTGATTACACCAGGCGATTTTCCAGGGTAAGGTGATGTCGAGTGGTGGTGGTGTTAACGACGCATTTATATTCGCGATATCGAACCAAAAAAAAACTTCACGATGGACCTCCTGCACACCAGGCGAGGTAGTTAACGTCTCGCTACTGTGGCGCCCCACAAGACGAGAGCCGTCTGCTTCCCGGGCCACGCGTCTCTCTATCTCTCTCTATCTCTCTCTATCTCTCTCTATCTCTCTCTATCTCTCTCTATCTCTCTCTCTATCTCTCTCTCTCGCCCGCCCGCTTCCTCCCGCTAGGACAGCAGCGTCCAGAGCTCGCGCGGCTCCATGCAGGGGCCGCCGCACTCCACTGCCCGGTCCCTGCGCTCTTCCGCGTTCTGCTGCTTCAGCAGCCACGAGCGCACCAGCGGCCTGGCGTCGAACCACTCCTGCGGGGGGCCGTTGCACTTGATCCAGAGCACGTTGGCCAGGTGCTCGTCGCCGTCCTCATCCAGGTCATCCTCGTCGTCGTCATCGACGTCATCATCGTCGTCGACCTCTTCCTCTTTGATGATGCCATACATCCGGCGGTTCTGCTTGCGGTTCCGGCGGCGCTGCTGCTGCTGCTGCTGCTGCCGCCGCCGCCGCTGCTGGTGACGGTCGAGGAGAGAGTCCGCGCGCTGGCGCGACGCGGCCACGTCGGCGAGCGCGGCGGTGACGCGCTCGCACTCGGCACTGCACGTGGGCAGCGTGGCGATCGCCACCTCCAGCTTGCTCAGCGCGCCGCCCTCCGGCACGGCCGCGCCGCGCCGCCGGCTACGGAACTGCGAGGCGCAGTCGAGCGGCGGCAGGCGCAGCCGCCGGGCGAGGCGCGCCACCTCGTCCTCCTCGGAGGAGGGCGGCCGCTTCCCATCCCCCGCATTGTCCTCGTCCTGCCGTTGCTTCCACAGCTCGGGGTCGAGCACGGAGACGAGCTCGAACACGTCGACGGGGAAGCGCGCCGTCAGGCCGTTGACGAGCGTCTGGTAGAACCGCGCCGTGTCCAGCCGGCCGCCGCCGCCGCCGTCGTCGCCGCCGTCGTCGTCGTCCACCACCACGCCCTTGAAGAGGCCGTCGGCCAGCCGCCGCTCGGCCCTGTTCAAAGACTTGCCGCCGCCATCCCGCAGGGACGCGACGGCGGCGACGGCGCGTCGCGCGGCCCAGAGCGCGTCGCACGCGGTGGCGCGTGCGTCCTGCAGCGCGGCGGCCAGCGCGCGCAGCTCGCGCAGCGCGTCCTTGGCGGCCGCCAGGTGCCGCACGAACGCGGCGCTCTCGAGGCGGCCGCGCAGGCGCCGGTACGCCTCCCGTTCGTCGGGCGCGCGCGACGGGTCGGCGGAGGCGCGGGCGAAGTGCGTGTGCAGCGCCGTGTAGCCGCGCCACGCGGCGCGGGCGCACGCGAACGTCGACGCCGCGTGGCGCCCGTCGGCCGGCGTCACGGCGGCGACGCGCGCCACTTCCGCGCCGAAGTCTGGCGCCGCCGCCGCCAGCTCGCCGGCGTTCCTCGGCGAGCGCGCGCACAGCTCGGCCAACGCCGTCACCAGCGAGCCGAGCCGGTCGGCGGCGCCGCTCGCCAGCAGGCAGCGCGACGCGTCCTGCTCCAGCCTGTGCGCCACGCAGCACAGCCACAGCAGGAGGCGCGGGAACGCCTTCTGGAAGTGCGCGCCGATGCCGCGCAGGGCGGGGATGTCGGCCGATGGGCCCTCGCTGGCGCCGGCCAGCAGCTTGTCGTCGAGCGCGGCGCGGCCCAGCTTGTCCTCGAGGCGGCGCACCACGGCGCGCGCCGCCTCCTCGGCGCTCCCGCCGTCGGGGAGTCGCACGAGGTCGAGCAGCGCGTTGTCGACGGACGCCGCGGCGCCGACGCGCGCCCGCACCAGCACGGCGGCGAAGCGGCGGCGCGCGAACGAGCAGCCGTCGACGAGCACCGAGAAGCAGTCGGCGCCGCCCACCAGGTGCGCCGTCAGCTTGGCCTCCATCTCTGCGCGGACGTGAGCGATGACGCGCAGGCAGCCGTGCGTGCCGCCCGCCCGCCCGAGCCGCGCGCCGCTGAGCCCCTGCAGCGCGCAGAGGGAATCGTGCTGGCAGGCGCGGAGGTCCTCCTTGGCCACGAGGTATGCCGTGCGGAAGGCGCGCTCCGTCTCCGAGAACAGCCTGCTTTTGGAGTCCACCACGTGCCTAGGCGGCGGCGGTGCCGGTGCGCGAGGGGCCGGTTGCGTCGTCTCGTGGACGGCGCTGATATAGCTCGCCTGGCGGTGCGCCTTAGTGTCGCGGTGCTCGTACACTTTCTTGCGCAGCTTCTTCTTGTCCTTGGCCCACACCATGCCGGCGCGCCACTCCTTGGCAAGGAAGACCCCCTGCCGCTTGTAGACCACCACGCTCGCCTCCCTGCAGATGGCGCAGCCGATGCCCTCCTGGCTGCGGAACAGCCACTTGGCGCGGCCCTGCCACGCGCGGAACTCGTCGTCCGACCACGGGAAGCACCGCTTTACTGTTTCGCCAGCCTGCTGCGGCTGTTGCTGCTGGTGTTTCTGCTGCTGGTAATGTTGTTGCTGGTGCTGCTGTTGCCGCCGCTGTTGCGATAACGACGCCGATTTTGCCCCCGCCGCTTTTGCCACTGCTGTCGCCGCGGCCATGGCCACGGCCGTCCTGCTGCTCCTCCGCATGGGCTCGCGGCCGACCACTCCCGGTTTGACATCAGGCGCCGACCCCGAACTCCGGGTGCCTTCGTTCGCCATCAGCTCCGCGCCGCCGACGCCGACGCCGACGCTGCCGCTATCCGGCACGAGTTCGAGCTTGACGTCGGCAGGCTCCGGCACGAACTCGAGCTTGACGACCGGCGACAGGGGGCTCGGTGAGAGGCCGTATGGTGGCGTGGCGAGGTCGGGCGTCCGTTCGGCTTCGCACCATCTCCCCGAGGACGGGTTCCTGCCGCTGAAGGTGCCTTGAACGTCACAGATGGACATGTCCAGAGAGGCCGGGCCTGCGGCAGTGTTCAAAGGGCGGCGGACGACTCTGTCCAGTGGCCCCCGGCTGGCCTGTGTGTGTGAAATAAACGTGGGAACACGAGGAGGCGATGTGATGGGAAGGGAAGAATGCAACACGGCCTGGCGGTAGCGAGTTCGCTGCTTGGTGCAGCGGTTGGAATCCAGTAGGACGCCCTGGTTATTACTGTGTATGTTTTCACCGTAAAAATCGCGTTGATTTTTCTCTGGGTCTTTCCTTTCCCCCCCCCCTCCACATTTAGAATCAACGTGCTGCAATAAAATGTCACGTAATGGTAAGCCACTTCGTTGAGCTATAATTTGTGGCCAGGTCGCTTCTGAAAAAGAGCTATACAGCTCAGTAGAACTTACCTGGTAAAATTAAAAAAAAGTTTTGTTTTTGGTCTGATTTCTATTTACTTTACTGCTGTGTGATATTGTTTCGATTTTTTTCCTTTTGGTGACCCAGATCCCTCTTGCAAATGAAACTCCAATCCTTGGTCTCTTGAGTTCTTCCCCTGGTTAAACATAATAAACTCATTGACCCATGTAGAGTATTCTCTGGGTCTTTCGGTAAAGTTACCCAAAGAATATGAATTCCTGCAGTGTAGAGTGTTTTGATTGCCTTAGTCATTACTGCCATCTGTGCCTCGAAACGACGATGGCTGTCTCAGAAACTTGGGAGTTAGCGCTTTATGTTATCCTGATGTTATGTTGATGTAATACACACATTTTGCTGTCCGCCTGATGATGCTAGTTGTAATTACAGGCGAAATGTCGTACTCAGATTGTAAATGTTGCAGATTTGCTCTCCATCACACCGGTGTGCTGTACTAGTAATGAATTGGGACGTTTAGTTTACGTGAGAAACCTTACTAATTGGCTGTGTCGGGTGGTGGCGGGTTTAACGACACATTCATATTTACGTGCTCTAACCCAAAAAAAACTATATTATGGATTTTATCCTGTTTGTTGTTTTTAAATATACGGTATTTTTTTGTATGCAGAGGGTTCATGGCTAAAAGGACCAATCTGGCTGTGATACGGATCCTTGCTCAGTGATTGTAGGGGTGTGTGGACACGTTGTTCTGTGTCCCAATTTGACAGCAGAGGTCTCACTCCGAATCAGTCGAGTGGAATTGTCTTTTCATTCGCTACGCAACGCTGTGTGGAAGCTACCTGGTCCGTCGCTTCATACGAAGCTTTGGGGCTTCTCGGCCACGGTCATGCCCTCCCTTCTCTATGCTTGCGAAACGTGGATCCCCCTCAAGGAACATCTTCACCAGTTTAGCTTGTCCTGCCATGATCCCTCCTGGGTTTAACCAGGCTGAATTGTGAAAGGAGCTCAGAAATCCTTGAAAGAAATGAACAATCGGTGAGCTCCTCTGGCAGGCAAGGTTGCGGTTGGCTGGGTCATGTAGCCCGCATGCCCAGCCACTGCATGGCCAAGCAGGTTTTGTTCGGCCAGATAGAGGGGGATAAATGGGCATGACACGGGCTAGAGAAGAGATGGAGTCATGTGGTACGAGAGGATATGGAGCTGAGTGGATTTGCCAATGACTGGTACCAGTGGTGTTAAGATCGGCCTCTGGAGGAGGCTCGTGAAAAGACGCCACTGGGCAGGTGGAGTCAGTCGCCCTCTAATAACAACAGAGAGGAGAGGAGCAATGCTCACAACAATGAGCGGAATGTCAGGCTGCTAAAACACATCAAGTTGGCACAGTAGGAACACAAGTGGTGCATCGGCCAGTCATCTCAGTCAGTCAACTCATGGCACCTGGTTCAGTCCCGTGACCCCCTGTCAGCGAGTCTTCGACACTTCACGTGGCCTTAAAATGCATACAGCCTGGGACAAGTGCTGTGGGGATTAGTGTAAGGCGCCCACGGTGACGAGATGTTAACTACCTCACCTGGTATACAGGTGGTTGTGGGTTTCACCCTGACGCTTGCTACATATTTGGAGTTTGCATGTCTCTCTCTCTAACACTGTGGTCGCGTGGTTTTTCTCTGGGTCCTTATAAATTCCCACTTGATAAGCCGTTTCGTTGACCTACCATATGTGGCCAGGTCGCTTCTGAAAAATAGCTATATAGCTCTGTGGGGACATAACGAGTAAAATAAAAGAGTTTAGTATATATTTAGAGTATCTCATACCTGTCAACCCATAAGGTTTACAGGGAAATTGAGTTCTCAGGTCCATACGGCGTACAGCCGTTTCAATATGGGCAACATTTTTTGTCTATTTTTTTGTGTTTCTCCCATGTGATGGGACTTTGTAGGATGAATGTTGAGATTGACAAGGGGTTGACAGGTATAGACTATCTTTTAAACTCAGGAGGGGGTGGTATTTTGAACGGCTGCCCTGGTCGAGTTCGACAGTCCCAAGCTGCTTTGCAATGATGCGGTAAGTCTCTGAAATCCTCAATGCATGTCCGGCCCATCACAACTGATGCCGACCCAGCAAAATTTCAATGTCCATCGTTGACGTCATCCAAATTAGCATACAACCACGTGACACGAAGTCCCCCCCCCCCCGCCCAGACATACATTAACATAAATTACGTGACAGGGGAAAAAACACTAGGGCTGAACGATTGATTTAAAATCGAAATAGTAATTTGAAACAATGCGATTAGCAAATCGCAAAGGCTGCGATTATTTGCGATTTGAAAAGTCCTATTACTTTCTTACTGGAATTGCTTTATTTTTTATTATAACTTTATTTAACTTAACAATTGTTCTATGTTGGATTGTTCTATTTCAATTAAAACATTTTAATAAATACATGTTGGAAGCGAGTCATAACGTTTAAGTTCTCATGCTTGCATTAGAATATATAGAGCAGTTCATATTTTGATGGTATTTCAGTTTCATTTTCATTTATTTGGTATAGCCCTGCGAGCCATTCTGCTCTTGAATCGGGTGCAACCGCAACAAACAAAAAAGATGAACAAGAAAACATCTTAAAGTGACTGCTTGTGTTGTGGTTATTGCAAACATGATGCCTTGAATAAAGATGTCAGTTTTTGTGCCAGTTAAAAAGGGTAAAACCTATTACTATATCTTGTTACTGGCAAAGGAGGTCTCATAATGTAAATGCTCACCCCGAGCCCTCAATACTCTGATAGCGCGCTGTTTTTGAGTTGTACGCCTTTTGGCGTCTTCTGGTCCAACACCAATGGAGACTAGGCTCTAAGAAAAGCCGTCTCGGGTGTGGACCAATCAAATTCAAGGACAGTGCAAATTATTATCAGAGTTGTCTCTTTTGTTTGCATTTTGACTGCTTGTGTTGTGGTTATTGCAAACATGATGCCTTGAAAAAAGGTGTCAGTTTTTGTGCCAGTTAAAAGGGTAAAACCTATTTCTATATCTTAAAGTGACTATCCGCAAACAGAAAAATCCAGGAAAAAACAGCAAAATCTTCCAGGCATCATGTGGTAATGCTCCATCACGTGTTTTAAATCTATTACACAGTGAATATTGAACTGAAGCTTGACTTAATTTTTTGTTAATCGCAAATCAAATCGCAATGTCAGAAACATTCCCCAAATCCTTCAGCCCTAGAAACCCCCCCACCTCCCATATAATTAGCATAATAGCAGTCACGCGACACCCAGCGACGTCATTCGAGTCCTCCCCCCACTCCGCATATGATTAGCATAATCCAAACCACGCGACCCTCACCACTAATAAACATGACGTCACCTCCAAAAGAAATGGGGAGGGCGGCGACGTTTACGGGAAGCAGCCAATGGGCGCTCGACCCGGGGGCGGGGCCCGCGCGTGCGCACTCGCGCGCCCCCCTCAAAATGGTGACGAGACGGCGCGGCGCGGAGCGGGGAGGACGCGGCGCGGACGAGCGCTAGGAGCGGCGCGCAGCGGGCAGCTGCCTCCCCCCTAATGCTGAGGTAAAAATGAGCGAAAACGAAAAGGAAAGAAGAGAGGAAACCCGTGGGGAGACCGTCCGTTGCGTTAAAGCGTGCTTATTTTAATTGTTTATTTTACATTTTTTCGTGGGGGTTTCTGGCGCCAAAAAAAACCGCCGTCTCGAGCGGCGCGCGCACGGCCGCCATTTTTCTCCTTCCCGTTGCGTTTTTCGCGCCTTTTTTGCGTCGCCTCAGCCACGACCAAAATGAAAAAACGAGGGCTCGGGATAAAACATAGACGACGATAATAAACAATAACACGGAAACGGGAACCCCCCCCCCCACCCTCCGGACGAACGATCACGAAGCCTCCCCCCCCCCAAAATAAAAACAATGTCGCAAAACGTCACGCGTTGTGTTGTCGAGTGCGCGGTGTGGCCGTGACGCTCCTCACCCTCCTCGGCGCGGCCGCGTCTGCGTCATGGCCGCCTCCCTCCTCACACCTCCCCCCGACCACCGCCACATCCTCACGTCTTTTCGTCTTCCTCCTCTTCCCACCGCCGCTTATCCACGCGATTAATCTCCTTCGCCGCCTTTGTGGCGATGTCGCGTGGCCCCCGCCGGCTGTGTCCGCTCGCTTAGCGTCGGGCGGCCGCCCGAGAGCGCGGGGAGGAGCCGGCGCGGCCGCGTTGCGTTTGGTCGCGCGCTCGCCTTCAATTTGTTTACGCGAATGGACGCTCCGTCGACAACGCGGCGTTGCTCGGGGAACTATAAAGCGCCTCGTGCCGCTCGCGAAAGCCTACGTACGATTGCCGTGCCCGAACCTCTCCGCGGCGTGTTTGTGTGCGCGTGTGTGTGTGGAAATATGGGAATGTATTTGTGGGTCAGGGAGAATGTAAATTCCCTACCAAAGTCGTGATCCACCACCACTACAACTCCACCACCACCAACCCCACTCGCACTTGTATTATGGATGATAAATATAACTCGCCTCAGTGTGGGTGTAGTTTCTCACCATTGTGGTGTGCCCGTGCATGTCTTTCACTTTATTACACCAATACTGTAGTAAGCTGTTTACAAAATTCCAACACCCCCCCCCACTCCACGTGCATCGGTACGAACAGAGATGAGTTGTGTTTGCCGGCCTCGTCGCCATGCAGACATAACAACAGCGTTGAAAGCGGTCACGTTTACATATCACGTTTAAATGTATATCTTTTAATTTAACATTATTTTGGAAATTAGGAGGGGGGGCGCCTTTTTTAGGAGAGTACTGTTATGATTCAAGTGTTAGTAGTATCCCCCTATGTCGCCAAATAATACAGGTCAATTGTAATATGACACGTTACAAAATGAGTATTGTGATCTTGCAAAGTACTCCGTGAAAGATTCACACGCATCAAGAGCTGTAAATGAGTAGGTCTGCTGTTCACCGGGGTTGCAGCCAACAACTTCCAACTTTTATGCCCCCCTTAAGTTGGTAAATGTAACTAGGCAACGATAAGTCTCGGCTCTTTTCCAATAAACCAAAGTATAAAATGTGCAGTCACCCTGGGTGATGGATGAGATTTGGTGCGCAAAAAAAAGTGCCTGTTATGAAGTTCGCTCCTTTATTGTTAATCGGAACCGTCAAGACTTGTAGATGAAGACGTTTCCCGTGCTGAAATTAGCGTTAAAGTGTTTATTTCTGGGCCTCTGAACAAGTGGTGGAAATTGCGCGTTTCTAATGTTACCTTAGGACACTTTAAAAAAAACAACACATGTTTGGAATTACCGTTGTGGTAAGGTGCAAAAGTTTGTAACTTGCACAAACGCTCGACTACCTTACACTACCGACGAGTGATTTGCAAGGTATTTCGTGAATTGAAGCTATACTTTTAATGTAAATAAAACACATTGGCCTGCAATTTAGGCGGATAACGATGAATTTCTGTGCATTTTCTAGAATACTCTCGCAAACCCACATCTCGTGTATAACATTGCGTAGAAACCTGCAGGCTTCTATAAAAGTGATGCAGTAACATTGCAGTATAATTTGACACCCTTAAATGTCAACTGTTATTGTATAAATATTGTTTTCAGACAGGCTACACTTTGCGTGCGTTTTATTGACTTGAATTTGATTATTATTTGTTTAAGAGCTTGAGCGAGCTGGCAGGTAAATAAAGATGTAACATACTAAAACGTGTAAATACTGTAAGCTTAACTTAAAATATAATATATGCAATTCTTCATAACCCACTAACCAGCTGCGTATTTGGAGATGGTGATGAGGAAATCGCTGAGCCTGTAGAGTTGCTAGATTATTATTTTCCTCAACACCTTAATCTAATTTATCATTGCACACTAACGAGTCTGCTTACACGATATTTGGTTATGGAGTAAATGATAATCGTCTTAACATCCTCCTCGTTCATATATTGTTTTCATGAAAATAAAATACAATTGTGTTGCAAATAAAATACAATTGTGTTGCTAGTTATTTATTTTTGACTGAAGAATTATTATTGGTTAGATAGAATGAGCATTGAACTGGGTTATATCAGAACGTTCACTACTGGTATGTCGAGTCCACATTCAACTTTATTTTAATGAATCGGGGTGTACGGTACTGTATAAGCTAACTTTTGCTTTGAAATGTCCCTTTAGGGCGTATTGGTAGCTTGTGAGCACATTCTCCACTACTCCAGCAGTCAGAACCAAGTCGAAGGTTTGCTTTGTGTAATCACCCGGTACATTAATTGTTACTGGGCATCGCCAGTGTACGCGATCAGCTGAAGAGTGGGTGTTGCTATTATAATTTACTACTATAATGAGCCAAGAATGTCTGTGTGTCCCGTGCGTGACGTCACTCCACATCAGCCAGCCCCCCTCATTAATAATCATGAACAGTTGACGTCACTCCACATCGAACAGCCCCACTCATTCATAATAATGAGGTGACATCTTCCAAATGGGCACCCCCCCCACCATTAATAATTAGTGGGTGACGTCAATCCACATGCTGGGGGGGCGAGGTGCCTCCTCCCCCCCTCAGCATCAACTTACAACCCTCACTACAAAGGCAGAACCCTCAGTGTCACGCCATCTCCGTCACGCTGTTGAGACGTCGAAGTAAAAAGGACGTCGTGATTAACAAGGGATTATAACCTTTAAATGAAATAAGTCTTGTGTCACCGCGGCCTTACAAATTGCACACGCATTGATACAGTGAATACCACGTCGCGGTCTGCTTTTTGCTTTCAAGTTTCAGATTTACTGAAATACACCCGTCCTTGGACGGCCAAAAGGCTAGTCTTTAAATAATCTTCCAAGGAAATCCTCGACAGCGAAACCATTTTTAGTAAGGGCGGTGCTTGGGATTTTCCTAAATTTCAGCAATTTGTATTTTTCTTGAGCTGTCATTTGCAAAAATATCCTCCTGCTGTGCCAGTATCATACTCTAAATTATAACGTTTGCTAAAAAGCAATACAGAGTTTAAAAATTGGCACCACTGCTTCTTGAGAAACAGCATTTACGCATTTGGAAATTGGACAGGCCATGATTTATATATGCCATTAAATGTCATATTACAGTATTTGTATGCCATTTTGGAAATGATACAATATCGAGTACATTATTAAATATATAAGGTTTCTCACACACTTCACGGATATTCAGGGTGACTTCAAACATAGTCGTGTGTGTGACATTTTTGGTATGATATGACCAACATTTGTATGTGTATTCATTTCATAGATTACAATGAGTTATCCGATGTGAAATCCCCCTAACTTTCTCTGTACGTTTATTTAGGATATAGCAATTCTAAGCGTTATGGGACTTATTTTTAACTGTGCTGTTATTCTTTTTTAACTTTTTGTAGTGATATGTTTTGAAGTATTGAGACATGGGGGTTTCTGAAAGGAGAGAGGACATTTACTTGGAGTTAAAAGGTTTTCTCCATCATTTGTCAAGAGCATGTTTTATAGTAAAGTAGAAAATCAATAAGTCATTTATTTAGAACAGCTTTTTGTGTTTAGTTGTCCTTCGTCCGCACCTCCGATTAACACGGTTAGATGCCTACGGTGCGAAAGAAGTTCTACATTTATACGTCTGTTTTATAGGATAATGCAGATGACTAAATAACTGGCTTGAGCCAAAAGTATGACATCTGTGAATGGCGATGTTTGTTTACGTTTTCTGATGTAATGTAGCCTCTTATCAGTGACCCATGCACCCAATGTTAAGGGCTGAACAGCTTTGGTTCAGTGAGGACTTTTTGTTGGAATTTTTAATTCTTCATGTTGTCCCTCATGGTCAGGTGGGTGGTGGGTTTGCCCAGTGGGTCATCCGCGTGCTTGTCACGCCATCAAGTTTGCTGATGACCTCTTATGCAATACATATAGTTGTGGTTTCAAAGGTGTACCATCTATCGGAAGATGTGATTCGTAAAAGATTTTTGGAGAATTCTAAAACGAAGCTGTTGTGTGCTTATATTAACCCCAATCGTATCCTTTCAGATGCGCTTTCTGCGGCCGTCTGGAACACTCTTCCGATATTAGGAAGCCACTGGAGCTGTGCACTTTTAAATCTAGATTGAAAACGAATTTATTTAGAACTGCTTTTTGTGTTTAGTTTGTTGTCCTTCCCCCGCACCTCCGATTAGCACGGTTGGCTACATACGGTGCGAAAGAAGTTCTAAATACATATCCTAGAGTTGAAAATTACCAATGACTCGCCGAATGGCTGGGAAGTTTTGTGGTGCTATAATTAAAGCATTAACAATGCCACTCGGTCAAATCCCTGTTGGAGTTTGTTGGATTATGGTTAGGCTTCAATAAAATAAGAACATTGAAGCCGTATTTTTACCCTCCGATTTCTTTCATTAGCCCTCTATTTCTAATTTTCTACATCCCAGATAATTGCACAGCGAATCTTAATGACATAGCACCTCGTATATAAAATAACGGTACTCTGTAAGGCTAATGTTTACCTGCAAGGATTGAATGAGCAGTGGAGGGGGCTTCTTTTTTAGACCGATTAGACGTTTTTTTGTCTGAGAATTATGTATTTAACAGATTGACGTTGATGTTCATTGGAGAACTTGTGATGTAAATCTCGCATTTGATTAAATTTCATGGATTTTACAGTGTGGTGTCATTCAAGTAAAGGTAGCCTAATTTTTTTGTATTTCTGTCCAAGCTTTCATTCCAATATTGGCTTGTTTTGATATTTAGCCACATTTATGTCAGCAGATGATTTAACAGGTGCTCCGATGTCTGTTGACGAACGATGATTTGTTCTGCTCTTTTGAACTTGACGGCGACCATGGCAACATTGGATTCATTACTTGCTTTCTTGAAGCACAGAATTACACATGTAATTTACATCTGCTGTTTTCACAAATGCAGGATGCTTTTTCTTTTTTTACACCAAAAAAATTAGGCTTGTGACCATATTGGGCTGAATCTGTGTATTTGTTTTCGGCTGGACTGGTACAATGTTTCAGTTTATTCCCAAAAAAATCTTCAAAGTGTAACTTAACATTACACAAGCAATGACGGAAAGACAGTGGGGTTAATGACTTGTATCCACAAATTGCAACCCAATGCTAAATTGGTGCACTATAGAATTCATCAAGAGATGCTCGATGTAAAGAAAATGACAGTGGAAATGAAGGCCGTTTTGAATTCTGCTGTGAGAATTACTGTTAATGACCTATGAATTCTCGAATTTTTTATGGACTGTGCAATGAAATGGGTAGTGCCCCATGTCCAACTTCATACTGAAGCACAGTGGTTGTCAAGAGGCAGAGTATTTACTCGCTTGTTTGAGCTACGTTTATAAGTACAGCTATTTCTAAGATACCATTCCAATTTGCAAGCAGTTTTAAGATTCATCCTTGCTCTCGCGATTGGCCTACCACTCCGATATAGTCACACACCTTAATGGGCTGAACATGGGGCTGCAGGAAGTTTCGGTGACTCTTGGAAGTGCGAGACAAAATTAAGAAACTTGACTTGTTTGCATGTCGTGTACAGAAAGATAACTTCTGCGCTTATCCAACATTGTAAGGTATTCTGTTTGAGAATGAACTGGTTCTTGACAACAAGATAAAAGATGAGGTCAAAGAACATCTTGTTGCTCCAAAGAAACCGTTTGAAGATTACTTTCCAGTTGAACTTGCAGACATAGTATTGTATGATGCTCTTACTACATACCTGTTTGGGGCAGGACTTTTTCATCACTTGCCACCCTCAATCCAGCCCGATATGGTCATGTTCCTGGAAAATGAATGCTGAATCTCACCTGAGGCTAAAGCTGCCAAACATTGCACTCGACTTCACAGAACATTGCTCGCAAAAACAGGCACATACATCACATTGGAGATGTAAGGCTGGTTATAAATGTGAGTAACGTGCTTTGATTTGCAAAATAAAAAAAAATTAACCAAGTCGTTTTCCGGAGATCTCCCCCGCAATTTTCAAGTGGTTTGCCAAACGAAAGTTTGAGCACCACTGGTCTAAGGCGTCTGAGACGTCTGCAGAATTTTTGTTTACCCCCTAGAGTTAATTGAATGTTTTGGATACAAGGGCCTAGAAGTTCTGGGTGTGGTGAACCAAGAAAAGGTAGCTTTCAGGGTTGAGAGGGCATCAGTGGAGAGACCAAATAGGCGCCACTCTAGCCTGAGGGGGAGCAGCTGTCTGACAACTAATAAAGCATTGTGTGTATGTATGTACGTGTGTTGTGCGTGCGCGCATTTGTGCGTGCTTACACGAGGCAGCAAGGCCGTGAGGGCGGATGCGGAGCCGGCAATGTCTGCCGAGCAGCACAACTCTGCCCGCAACAACCATGCGGCGGCGACGGCGGTGGCGGTGGTGGCAGCGGTGCCAGCCCTCGCTCCTGGAGCCAGTCCGGCACATCCCCAGCCCGTGCCGGTGGCGCACGCTCAGCCGCTGTCGCCCCCGCTGGTGCAAGACTTGCCCGGTCAGCACACAGAGCCCAAACGGTGTTATTCATTCGTTGGGTCATTGAATGTGGCCCCATTTGTACATGTAATATGTTGCAGTCAGCGCTGTCATTGTTAAGGAGCGATTCCTTTCCTCATTAAAGGAAGCTGTATAACACAAATAAAATAAACTTGTCTTGTAGATGAATATGGTGGTTTTGTGGTCTTGGTTGTTCAACGTGTGTGCTAAAAGTTATCCAAAAAGGTTCTGGTCAGACACATAGCAGAAAAGAGACATCACTGCCATGAGGTAATATGACGTCAATCCAATAATGGCATGAGGGAGAGCTCTGGACACACAACCTAGCTATTCAAATACCAGATAAGAGCTTTGTTTTTTTACACTTTACATTTTTAAGCATTTTGTTCGCTATAAAAAATCTATGGTAGTGCGACAGTTCAAATCTGCTTCTTTGAAGAAAATAACAATGCAATTCACCACTCAAATCCTAAGCTTCCATTTTCAACAATGGTGTGCCGGCATTAGATTTCCCACTGTACAGCATGTGCTGTGACCGACGAGCTCAGGTAAATGGCTCCACACCATGTGAATGTAGGTAAAAGTACTCCAGTATGCGCTGTGGATTACTGAGGCTGTGGGCTCATGTCGAGGGAGTAGTGCAGTAATGGTATATAAACAAAGCATGGTAATCGTGGTGTCATCTGTACACTTGGACATTTCCCTGTTTCCATTGTACAGTCGTAATTATTTTAATAGTGTACAGGAAAACCTCGCCGAACACGGGTTACCTTCCTGGAAAATGCTATGTCGGTCAAGACCGGGTTCAACGATTTATTGATCTCATGGGAAATAGGGTTAGTTCCTGGGTCCGTAATTATAACCCACGTTCTTCTTTGAACTAATTCTTAATTATTTCCACCCCTTATTGTAAATAAAGGATTCCGAGTCACTCTTCATATCTTGTGCGGGTGTACACTCTTTCATTTTCACGTCGACACAAAACCACCGCCTCCATTGCTCTTCCCGCACCACGGCACTCCTGCCCAACGCTTGCACCCTGACACTGATTTTTGCCAGCCCAATGTTCGCCCTTGAACAATCACTTGAACGTTAATGATTTGCCATCAAGGCGTCCGTGTGACCAACGCCATCAATGAGTGGACGGCTAGATTCATGCGGCAATGCGTACAGCACTCGCCTCTCTCAAGCCTATCTAATGACTATATTGTAACAATCTGAGCAACGTCAAACCCGTGTATCACCGAAACATCACCCTTGTGTAACGGAAAGCAGATCTCATTAAGTAAACCGTGTGTAGCCAAAACAATGTGTTCGATAAAACCACTTAAGGCGATGTTTTCCTGTATAGTACACCATGTTTGGGCAGTCTTACGCTAGTAATGTCACTATAGTGCGCTGCAGTGGTGCGCTTGAATGTAAAAAAAAATTCACAGTTCAATTTTACTTGGTCATGAAGCTCAACACTTGGAGTTGCACATCAGAAGTATGTGTCCGCAGAATGACGTATATTTGCGTGTGTGGAAAATTTTACTAACAGATGAACTCATCCAAGGCGGTTGGAGTAAATGCTGGAGCCGACGGGAGAACCGGCCCTACTTTTACAATCGCTTCACCAAGCAGTCGCTGTGGGAGCTGCCTGCGTTGGGACAGCACGATGTCATTGTAAGGGCCCCTCATCCCTACTCCAATCCTACCTTCTGCCTGTAGCCACATGTCTCACCAATAGACACCTGCTTTTTGTTTTAGGACTACTTTTGTTTTATAACAAATGTTTGTGTTTCGTTACCCATCCGAGTTAAAATCCTTACCACCTATGAGCACGCTTGGCTACGTTCGGTGCGAAAGAAGTTCATGCATACAAAATCACCCTTTTGACCTCGTAAGTACAAGCCTCAAGGGTTCACATGGGTGACTGGGTAGGTCACTGAGCTGGGCGTGGTGGTGCATGCCTGTAGTACAGTGCTTTAGGGGCAAGGTTTCTATTTTTCTAGGTTTGATCAAGTACAGTGACACCACCAGATTCGCCCTCTTTGGGCTGTGAGGCAGATAGTCACAGTGCAAGAATTGGGTTGGGCGGTTCCTGAACCTGTCAGTGTAGCCTTTGACTATTATCCCCTCGTAGGTGTGGGGTTTCTCTGTGTAGGCTGTTTTTTTTTTCCAAATGCAAAACAATACTTACAAAGGAAGAGGATAAACATCTCAACGTATGATTATTGATGATTAGTAAAGCGTTGTTGATCAAAGAATGTCTTTCCCCGGCACCTCTGATTAGCACGGTTGGCTACGCATGGTGTGAAAAAAGTTCAGCATACATACAATGTTGCTAATTGTTTCTATCACGTTGGAGCCAGCGCTGGAATGATGTTGGTTTGAAGGCTAGCAGTTTAGCATAGGATTTTGGTCCCCGTTCATGCACTTCCGCTTTTGCTGAAATGTGCCTGTGTTAATACGCGTGTTACCACTGTTACCGAAGGAGTTTCAGTCCGTCACAAGAGAGTCCCGTGTTTTGCCTTTTGCCGATAGTCAGGGGTGGAGTCACAGGGGGGGCTGGGGGGGGACTCAGCCCTCCCTGAAATTTTGGGAAAGTCGGTAATCGGGATAACCGGATATCCGGCTGCTGCAAAATGCTGGCTGCCACCTTGTGCTGCCCTGCAGGCTGCTTGAGCGACAGCCTTTCGAACTTATCGAACTTATCAAACTTATTAGCCACATCAGCGGCTCCGACCTATGCGTTCAAATCCAATAAAATTTGTTTTATACATTTGTGGCGCCCATTGGAAAACATACACCGGATATCTCAGAATATTGATGTCAGCCCCCCCAAGTCAAAATCCTGGCTCCGCCCCTGCCGATGGTGATAATTAGTTTTAAAGTCTGGCTAGTTGACTTGGTGCACAATTCTTCTATGGCCTATACAGTGGGCTGCACCTTTTTAGGGCGCCGCAGTGGCGAGATGACCTCCTGATATACAGGAGGTCATAGGTTCGATCCTGATCCTGACGCCTGTATATTTGGAGTTTGCATGTTCTCCCCGTAGTCGTGTTGATTATTCTTCAGGTTCTCCAGTTTTTCTCTCTACGTTTAGAAACATGCATTTACAGTATTTGGCTGCTATAAATTTCCACGCGATAAACCACTTTGTTGAGCTATAATTTGAGGCCAGGTCACTTCTGTAAAACATATATATAGCTCAGTGGGCATTACCTGGTAAAATACCAATTTTGTTTATTTTTTTATACGAGTTATCCTCCCAAAACCTTGAGATGTAGCTCCGTTTGGATGTAATATAAATCCACATTGCAAATCGTATTGCCCCTACAAAGTAGTTGTAGTGCATCACAAGAGATAGTCCCTACAGCCGTGTTACCAACCATTGTTACTGATGCTGTGCTTGTGGTTCTTTTGACGTGCAGTCAGATCCGCTGGGTCTGAATGCGGCCCCGGTTGGCGGGGTGCCGGGCGCACCTGCGGCGGGCGCCACCGGAGCCTCCGCCGAGGATGCTGCTCTCAGGAAGCGCCGGCTGTCGGAGGAGATCGGGGCCGGCGTCGCAGGGGCAGCGAGTGCCGTGTCCAAGCGGACCAAGGTGTGCATGGCAGGAGCTTTGAAAGAAAAGATAGTGTGTAATTAAACCCTTTTCCGTTACGAGGCGTCCGCAAGTTGCAGGGTGGGTGTCCCGTTCACCGCCGGATCTTGGGAGCGCGCAAGCGGTTCAGCATTAATTTTATTTAGAGAGGCGTAGCGCCGCTGTTTTTAAAGACGTACTTACTGCAGTGAACTGTCGCGACACAAACGCACTCGATGATAGCTGGCGTAAACTGTGCCACATGCCATCCCGCATGGCCTTGTGGGAGCCTCAGTACGTGTTCCGACTTGAAGACATGCCATATTTATTTCTTCCTACTCCATTACGATGACGTGCATGTACGTGATCGGAACAGAATCAGAAGAAAAAGTGATGTACATGTACACGTTTGTCATCAATTTTGTTTTATGTTGTTTTGCGCATACACCATCGTAATTGTAAAGGGTTAAAATGTTGTAATAGCTCTGTGTAATAAAAATAACAGTGCTGCTTAGGTTTTCACGGTTGTGCTGTTTAGCTCCAATCGATATGTTTTCAAGTTTTACCGTGCGTTTTCGTGATGTCTGACGGTTTCGCTTCACGCACTGGGCTGAAGTTTCACTTTGTGAACAAGTTTCAGTTGCGGAAGAAGCACGTGGAGTGAAACGTCAAACGTTGCTGCTCTCTGAAAACGCAGCAATATAATTATAAATCAACAACAGACACGAATCCGTTTCATTGCACAAATAAAATGTTGGCCTGCCAACCTCTGGACCCATTCAACCAGTGTTTTGCAGTTAGCATTTCCTTAAAAAAATATTGATTTTAACTCGACTCTGAATCATCAGACTGTATGTAGCCTGTGAAACAAAAGCCCCTGGCTTGCTTGGTGTTACAAGGAAAAGCCATTTATGAACCGTGAGACCTCATCGGTTATGCATTTATTTCTTAAGCAGGATGGCTTTCGTAACACAGCACCACTTTAATATGGGACCTTTCACGTAGCACAGCTTACGTTTGAGGAGATTGGGTTATCTGAAGGGAAACTGTTGGCTCCATATCAGATTAAAGCAGTATTTTTATCGTAGGCGCCCATGGAGCCAATTATGTTATCAGTGTTGGCTCATTATACAGGTAATAACGACTTAATAATGTTACATATATGACTCATTGGTATTTTAATTACCCAGGATCTGATTTGGCGTCGGTGGGCTCTGAAATGCCCCTTTGCTTTTTCGCTGTCACTCCCAATGCATTCCATAAATGTCAAATTGTTTGTGTACCTGAGTAAAACCTTTTTCCGTCAGCCTAACAAGAAACACAAGCAATCAATGCTTTACTATTCATTGACTTAACTGCCAGTTGCTTTGCTCTTTCCTGGTTGAAATTTAAAGTTCTTGATTGGCAAAAGTGCTCTATATCTCGTCTCTTGGAACCGATTCTCACCCACTGTCAAAGTATGGGCTCGTATTGCGTTAGTTTAGCGTGACTTTTTTTCCACTGAATTAGGCTACAAAAGATTGTTATTATCATCCCTTGGGATGAGTTGATGTTTTGTTTGCTAATTAATTGTTCATACCACTGTCTTCTGCCTTCAAACCCTTGTCTTTTTTTCCCCCACTCAGTCGGAGGACGTCATGCCGGTCACCCCAGTGGCACCTGTCCCCAAGGGCTGGAAGACGGAGGGTGGATTTGCTAGTCCCACACAGAAGCCCAAGCCTCCCACCCTGCCCTTCCCGTACGCCTTTCCAGCACTGTCCCCTGCTTCCACTCCCAAGCACTTCACTGCTCTTCAGTGCTTTTGTTGTTAAAATATGATGTATTTATTTTGCGTTATCTTAAGTTTGTATTCAGGGCTAGCTGCTCTGGCCAGGTGACTCACCGGAAGAGTGATCAGTTCGCAATTGGAAGGTTGCAAGTTAAAATCCTTACTTGTTTGGGGTTGATTCAGCCCACTGGCCCTCCTATGTCAGTTTTTATTTTAACAACAATCTTATATTTGTGAACTTTTTTTCACGGCATATTTTTCAGTTTAAAGTTTAAGTTGTTTAGTTGTGGTGTTGTACGAGGCGTAAACTCAATGAGAGTGGTTGCAAGTTCTGATTCTAAATGGCGTTGAGCTCATCCCATGATTCATATGGGGTGTATGAATTGAATACCACTGAGAAGTCAACTCTCTTTAGCCTTGAAGGGGAGAGATTGACCTCGGCGTCGAGTTAAATTTAAAGTGTGACTAATGCTGTTGCTGCTGCTTTGCACAACGTTCCTTATGAGCGACCCATTTTAGTCAATCACGGCACATTTGTTTGATCGTTTATATAATACCAGTTCATTAAGCTTGTTTGCCAGGAAAACATTTTCAATAAATCTAATAATTGAACTTATGAGTTTTCACAATTTTTTTTCTACGATCAGACACTATAACTACTCCAAAAATGTGTATTTTTCCACGAAAAATTTTAAAAAATTGTTGACTTCATTCAATTTCTTACATTTAAAGACATACCCATCGGAAACCGCTCAATTTTAAGATTTGTTTTTTTATATGAGAAAGCATAATCATTTATGAACTTAATACTCTGAGGGGAAGCTCCTATCTTTTACCATTTTCGAATTATTCAGATTTGAACATCAAAATGTGTATTTTTTCGTTCAAACCTGCTTGAATCTGAAATATCTCAAAAATAATAAAAGATAGAACAATGGTTCTTACTTTAATTTGATTTGCTGTTTAACGCTCTACCACACGAAAAAAACCCCGCAATCTTATATTTTGAATGGTTTCTGAATGACACCGCGCAAAAACATGTTTATGGGGCACTTAAAATCGAGATTTGAGGCCTTAAAATTTAAAAATCTCGGATTTTCAGATTATAATAATAGGGTTTTTTCCCTTTTTTTCTGGCAGCAAAACCAAAACTTTTTTTACAAGGAATCATGTGTGCATTAACCACAATACTTGTGGTCAAAATGCAAACAAAAAACACACTGATAATTTTTTGGTTTGCATTTTGACCACAAGTATTGTGGTTAATGCACACATGTTTCCTTGTAAAAAGGTTTCAGTTTTGTTGCCAGAAAAAAAGGGGAAAACCCTATTATATTTTGGTACTGGCAAAGGAGGTCTAATGATGATGATTTTCAATTTTTCATGTTCTTGTTTTAAAAGCTACCTATGTACCAAATTTCAGCTTTCTACCTTGTCGGGAAGGACCCTTTGAGGTTTGTAAGACATACAACAGATATAAGGTCTTTATTTTTATAGACGAGAGATAGGCTTGGAAACCCAATCCCCCTCCCGCTCCTATCACCGGGCCTTTTTGCCTCGGGAGTTCGGCAAGGGATGGCGAAGGGAAAGGTGCCTGACTTTCCCACAAATTAAACAAAAATATCTGGGCATTTTATTAAAAAATTACGTGAAAAAATTGCTTTAATTTTCATGTTCAATCTAGTTTTTTTCTTCATGTTCCACAATGGTATGGATAAAAATATACATCCATTTTTGGAGGGATGAGTGTAGTGTTTCATTGCAATTGGTCATGTGGTCTGTTCCAGCCAATTACAGTGTAGCTTGTGCAACAACAAATTTCAAAAGGTGTTCAGATAAAGTTGCTGTGTTGCAGAGACAGAGGCAAGTATTGGTGCAACACAATCATTTAAATTGTACTGTTTTAACTTCAGCTTTAAGAATTCAGAATTTCTACCACTCGTCACGAACAGAGAAGAACACTTCGCCGTGATAATTTTAGTTCAGTAACCTAGTGGCCAACTGGGTCGCACACTCACTCGTTGACCGATTCCCACTGTTTGAACATTTTAGTCCCTCACCCTTCCTGTTACTTCATCTGCAACGCCACACCCTCCGCCCCTGCCCTTTTCGCCATCCCCACAGAATTTACTGGAACCTGGAGGTGCCGACGAACGCGGTGATCAAAGAGCGGGGCCTGTTCGACACGTTCCACCCTCACCCCGAGGTGGAGTTGTTCCGTGCGCAGCTCACGGTGCGCCTGCGGCATCAGTACCAGGAGTTGTGCCAGCAGAGAGAGGGTGCGTGCGCCACATCTGCCCCTGGGTCCCATCTTGCTCTTGAGTAGTTTCTCCCGCAGGAAGATTATTTTTTTATTTAGACCATAATTGGTCCTTGAAAACTCATTATGAGCATCCATTTCTCAGACAACCGCTTCGGTGCCTCTGGTAGATCGAGTTGTTCGCTATTCGGATGTTTTTAACATTAAATGTTTGTGGCTTTGACTCAGTCTATCTCTTTGCAGGGAAGTCAACAGTACTTGTCCTATGGATAAATTCAACCCAGTAATAGAAAATGTGAATTTCAATCTCTACGCATTTTTCTAAAATACGAGGTGTTAAGTGGGAGATTCTTGCTATTAGAATGTATCTGTGGCTTCCATGAAACACTGCCATGGATTTATGATTCATCGATTGATGATGGAGCATTCATGATGGTGATGATGAATCGATGATATAACGATACTGTTCATTCTAGATTTGAAGTTTTCGTGACTGCAAGGATCCATACTCTTGGTTCTTTCGGTAAAGTCACGTAGGTAAAGAAAATAAAAATCAAATACAAATAAATTAAATCACGACGTTTCGGGCGCAACACAAGCGTCCGTCATCAGGCGGGGACAACCACAGCAAGAAAGAATTGCTGAAGTAGGCAAAGAGAGCTGATTGTTACAAGGTTATTATATTGCATAGGAAGAGGGGAGGAGCCAAGGGGAGTGTGGGGGCGGGGCGTGGGTCAGAGGAGAGTGGCAAACAACATCATCCAAATGATGAGAGAGGGTGGGGGGGGAACATGGGTCAGAGTGGAAAGCTGCAGGCTCTAAACAATGCACGGCGAATTTCCAAGTGATGGGAGTGAGCAGGGCTGGGAGTAAGAAACTGGAGATGCGGATATGAAAGTAAACTATAAAGCAGCTAAGGTTTCACTTGGTTAATAACATCCTTCCAATGATTGCTCAATTTGTATCAATCTGGGTTGAAGTTATGTCTGTTTGTATATCTGGATGGCTTCATGAACAAAACTTTGATGGTAGCCAGACGGCTTGCAGAGCACTTTGGTCTCGGAGAAAACAATATCATGAGAACGATAACGTTGTGTTTCGAGACGTATTGTCTAATACAGTGTTCCTCATTGCAAGGCCTGTGGGTCACTGGCAGCCCCTGGTCACCTTTAATATGGCTCCTGATGTCCGTCCCTCGACATTACACAAATGTAAAAAGACTCCATCATGCTGTCAAACTCAATGTTTGAAAATGTGTGGTGGCCCTCACACCGATGTCTTATCGGCGAAAGTGACCCCCCCTCTGAAAATCAGTGAAGAACACTGGTCGAATATATAGCATTAGGGACACAGAGATGCAACCCTTGGAAGCTGGGCAGGCCATTCGTAATTAAAATATCAAAATATTAGAATCCATACAAATGGCCTCTCCGTTGCTGCGGCGTGGACAGGGGTGGACGCGCCACGCGAGTCATTCAACCGCTGGCTGCTGGAGCGCAAAGTGATCGACAAAGGTCGCGACCCCATGCTGCCCAGCGACTGCGAGCCCGTCGTGTCGGTGTCCATGTTCCGCGAAATCCTCAATGACATCCCCATACGGTAACGCTCGCCAGCCCACGCTGTGTCAATTCCAGGTTACTCGCCGTTATTGTACTATATTTATACGTGTCTACGTGTATGCTGCCTGCCTTAATCGGCTCTGACCAGTGTGTTGAAGTATGTTGAAATAATCCCCATGACCAGCACTGTAGGTGCAAGTCCTATTATCCAGCAATAGCAGGCACTGTTGAGAATGGGAAGAATGACAAGGTTTCACTATATAATTGGTGTTTATTAGGTAGTGGCTAGAACTTGATGTTACTATCCATGCAACCCAGGATTAGATTCTCACACTGTACTTAATGAGATTCTGTGGTTTATCTAGCAGTGGCTTTTGTTTGGTGAATGTGGCAATAGAAGGGTATGCCTCTGATCTGATGTATCTTGACGTTAGTGTTGTGGAGATTGTGGTGGGTAGATTGAACAATACTAGCCTTCATACTTATACTATAAATGCATTATCATGATGCTTTTTTACAACAGTTTCTGTGTGTGTGTGTGCGCGCACATAAGGCTGTCACGCATCAAGTATCGCGATGATGCAAAGAAGCAGCTGTTTAAATATGCCGAGGCAGCAAAACGCATGATCGACAACAGGCAAGTGGTTGTCGACTCTGGAGAGAAAGAATGTCGTGCTTCATACATAATTGCTCATTTGACCCTTTATCGTTTCGAGATGATTGTAAACTGCAGGGTGGGTCTCGTTCTCGGAACGTACAAACGGTTCAGCGTTAATTTTAATTAGACTGGCTCAGCGCCGTCGTTTTTAAAGACATGGTACTCGCCGCAGAGAACTGTAGAGACATGGCCGCACTCTATGATGGCTGGTGCCAAACTGTGCCTTACGCCCTCCCGGCATGGCCTTGTGGGAGCCTCGCTACTGATAAAGTTACGATGTACGTGTAGGTCATCGGAACGGGAAAGGGTTAAATAGCTTTACCTTACAACATTTTGCTTGTGATTACCAGTTGTAATCCGTAAAAAATGAATATAACATCATTTGGTGCAGCGGTGCATACCACTGGAACCCAGCGAGTTCGATTCAGGTTTCCAGCTAACTTACCGGGGAACATGTGTCTGTGCGTCGCCAGGAACGCGTCCCCAGACAGCCGCAAGATTGTCAAGTGGAACGTGGAGGAAACGTTCAACTGGCTGCGGAAGGAGCCATCGCCCTCCAAGGAGGACTACCTGGTGCGTGACCTTTGGGGGTGCTCCTTTTAAATCTTTAGTCCTCTGCCCAATGGGCAGTCTTTGACCCAATTCCTCCATCCTGTCCGATCTTGAGCTTCATTTCACTCTATGGACCCCATTCATTCAAGTCGTCAAGAAGCACCTTTTCCTGCCTTTTGGACTCTTTCCCAAAATCACTTCCCCCACACCTCCGATTTGCACGGTTGGCTGTGTACGATGTTGAAAGAAGTTCAACGTATATATCTTTCCAGAATTTCCTTCATCAACCTTTCACCTCTGAGAATGTACCCAATCCACATCTTGTACCTTTTTGTTTTTGTTCTCGGAGGTAAATAATACGTGAGGTTTTTTTATTAAATCATCACTGAGACGATAAGGATCTATTTTCGGAGGGTTCTGCATTGGAATGTTTGGGCAATTTTATTTAAGGCACGTGAGAGGAACCAGATGCCCTAGGGAAAACCAATAATGAGGAGGTAATGCTTAAAAAGAGCTCTGCACAGATGGTTTTTCATGTGTTTGTGCATGCCTGTAATCTAGGACTATAAAAATAGTTCATAGAGCTAGCAGGTAGCCGAGTCATAGTACAAAAAGTGGGTTCATGAACCCTTATGTTATCTTTGTTATCTTCTTTATGTTGTTTTGTCTGGGCACTGGTTTCCTCGAGCATGCAGACAACTCGGTTAATATAAGTGACACAACCTTCCCAAGTGCAATGGCCTTTCTGAAAGTGTCTTGAAGTCTCAGAATTTTCTGGACAAATTAATAATAACCTTGCCAGTTTAATTACAACGTATAAGATGTCTCTGTCTGTACATGTTTTGTGTGTGGTTTTAAGGACCGCCTGGACCACCTGCGCCGTCAGTGTGGCCCCCACCTGGCTGAGGTGGCCAAGGAGTCGGTGGAGGGGATCTGTGCCAAAATCTTCACGCTGTCCTGCGACTATGTCAAGCGCATCCGAGACAAGAACCTGGACATGCTCAAGGAGAACAAGCTCGCCCTGCCAGGTGCTGAGACCTACAACTGGCTGGGTCTGCAAGGGTTTACCTGGGTTTGGTTCAAATGTGGAACTCAATGTGAGAGTAAATTCTTATTATCTCAAACGTGGTTGTGATATCACCTTCCAGAGGCCATTTTTTTCGTGTATTTTTGCTCCAGGTACACTTTTTTTTGCTGCACGTTTAGGAAAATGCATTTAGAGCAGTGTTCTTCATTAATTTTCAAAGTGGGGCCACTTTTGCCAATAAGACAGTGTGAGGGCTGCCACACATTTGAAAACATTGGGTTTTGGACAGCATGATGGGATGTTATCACATTTGTGTATTGGTGGGGGCCGCACTAAAGGCGACCAGGGGCTGCAAGTGGCCAGCGGGCCTTGCAATGAAGAAAACTGGTTTAAGCTGCTATGAATTTCTACAAGAACTATCATTTGTCGACAGGTCGCTTCTTAAAAATTGATATACAGCTCAGTGGGCCTTACCTGTTCAAAGAAAACATAGTTAAAATCGTTTTTTTCTTGTGATAATGGGAAGTGTAATGTTAGTCAAGAAGTTATGTAAGTTAGTTATCGTCTTCTCGATGCTAACTTGAGTGTGTGACATCGCATATCTCCATTGATTGCACCGAGAACGTCGTCATCGCTGAGCTAGGGGGTGGCGGGGGAAATTCTAAATGTGGTGAGAGCCAGCCTCTCCATTTGACAGCTCGTGTTGCTTTCTCGACAGTGGTAATCATGTAATTGTCCCAGGAAGAATCATTGGCTTAATTGAAACCCAACTGGCGCTTCGCTTTATTCAAGTGCTCTAACCAATAGAGCTAACTCGTATAAATGTAAAACAACGTATACAAATCCCTTGGAAGTAGGGCTTTGATTTCTTTAACCCCATAGTTATTAAAAATGATTGTTACATAATGTTTGTAAAACGATTACTTGCAGGATATAAAAATAGCACACTGCCTGGCATAGCCGAACCCAATCAGTCATACAAACAACCCTCGAGTCTTGCCTTGTAAGTCCACGCATCTTTAACTGCAGAGGAACCCTGATTATCTTTGGTAATTAGCACACGGCCATGCACAGCAAGTGAGCACCCAGATGAAGAGAAGAAAGCCATTTATGGGCCTATGTAGCACTGCACAGCCCAACTTGGCAGTGGATTTCAAAACACGGAACACAGAGCACAGTGGTCTGACCGCAGAGGTGATGTTTGTTTTGCACAGTGCATACATATTTAAATTAAAAGATAAGTGTTCTGTCGGGGACACTTGTATAGTTTCTGGCCAGGTAACTCAGCGGTAGAGTGAGCGGCTCTCAATCGGAGGTGTTGTGCGGTGAAATACTTGGTTGGTGGTTGACTTGGCCCATTGTCCTTCGGACATCTTAAAATGAGTACCGCACTTTGTGGAGAAGTCAACAACAGTGGTTATCATATGTTGAGACACTTAGCCCCACCATAGAAATGTGCAATTTCCACCTGGCCAGGCACTACGCTCGTGTACTGTAGAGCACACTCTATGGTATTTATATTGATCTATTTAGGTTCAACGTACATGCATAACATGTATGCACTGAGATGAGCACTGTCTTCGATTATTTTAGCAGGAATGGTTTTATGGTAATTAATGATGCTTGGAGAAATGGCATTCCACAAGACTTGACAAATACAGCCGCTAATCTTACTCTTGATGTAATTGTCCAGCTATCTCTCTACCGGCTATCTGCCTCTCTTTGTGTCCCTCTGACTGACTATCTCTGTTTAGCTACACAGAGATTAGCACGGTTGGCTACGTACGGTGCGAAAAAAGTTCAATATTCATACAGCTACCTCTTTTCCTGCATCTCTATCTTTCAGCTTATTTTCTTTCTATCTAAATCATTGCTTGGCAGCTTCACTTTGTCCCTATCTATTATCTGCCTACCGCAATCCCCATCTATTTCACTTCATTGCCTAACTGTCCCTGCCTACCTACCCCCAGTGCTCAGCTCACCGCTAGGCCTCGGCAAGGTAAGGTAAAAGGTAAAAGCAACGAGCCTACCTTTACCCTACCTTTTACCCTTACCCCATACAAATTACCCGATTACAGGGTAATTACTGGGGTACTACACATGAAAAAGGTTTACAACAGGTAAATGCTAGGTCGCGCGCTTTATTCATATAGAATACTCTCGATGATTCCAATTTTACACGCTTTCTTTTAACTCACTCTGTCTGTTGTTGTTGTCGTTGTTGTATCCTCAAATCCTGTAACTCAATTTTAACCCACTTCCCAATGTGGTATCGACTGCAAACTTGGTATACTTATGTCATACTGATGACAATACTATATTCTATCAGAAAAAATAAAAAATCTATATTTTTAAACATTCTTTTTTATTTAGATTTAAAGCTTTTGTGACTGCAGGGATTCATATTCTTGGTTCTTTCGGTAAAGTCACGTAGAAGGGAAACATTAAAATAATAAAATATAAAACAATAAAATGCTCACGACGTTTCGACTGCAACACAAGCAATCATCATCAGGTGTGAAAACCACAGCAAGAAAATTTGAAAAAAGTGGCGGTTTTTTTAACGTTAGCACCACGGAGAGCGATTTGGCAGTTATTCAGATGGACGAGTCCATCTATGTTCGGAAAAGAGGAGGGGGGAGACGAAAATAATGGATGCGGTCTGAAAGCCAACGTAAGCGTGAACAATCAATTAAGACCCGAAATGGTTGATCAAATCCTTCCAATGATTGCTAAGCCAGAATCCATCTTCTCGGTTGAAATTGTCTCTGTGTTTGTATATGTGGATAGCCTCATGAACGAATCTCTCATGGTAGCCAGATGGCTTGCAAAGAACCTCTGTCTTGGAGAAGTCAATGTCATGTGAGCTTACTGAATTATAACAGTGATCTGCCACGGCCGAGGTGTTGGTCCTACCGTGTTTCAGGTCTGCTTTGTGTTCACGAATGCGGTCCGAGACATGTCGTTTGGTTTCTCCAATGTAACTACTATCAAATTTTCTTGCTGTGGTTTTCACACCTGATGATGATTGCTTGTGTTGCAGTCGAAACGTTGTGAGAATTTTATTGTTTTATATTTGTATTATTTTATTGTTTCCTTTCTACGTGACTTTACCGAAAGAACCAAGAATATATATTATTTTTTATGTTATGTTTCGGGCTTGGGTCTAATTGTCCACTGTCAACTGACGTTGGCTGTAATTGGCCAAGGTTCCCTTACGTTATGGCAAGCTTCAGGGCCACTTCCTGGAGTCGTGGAGTTCTGCCATTAATCGTACATTTCATAAAAGCGTGTTTTTAAAAAAGTAAAAAAAAAATATTACTTATTAAATGGAGGCCACGGACTGCGCCACGGAGCCTTTAGCGGTAAACAAGGCACCGTATTTACCGGGTAATACTTCGCGCTACCTTTACCCTACCGGGTAATTCTTCCGAGATACCTTTACCCTACCCTTTACCTTACCCCCTGGCATGTCGACACCCTTACCCTTTTACCCGGTAAAAGATGAAAATGACCTTACCTTGCCGAGGCCTACTCACCGCATTTGCATCCTCCCCCACCCCCCCCCGTGTCTCTCTTTCGGTGCAGAAGAGGCTGCTGCGGTGGCGGTTGCAGTCCCTCCAGCCGTTGATCGGCTGGTTTACTGCTTCCCAGCTCGCCTCTCCATACCCCCCTGGCCCCTGCCGCGTGTGGAGATGCACACAGAGAATGACATGACCTGCCTCCGCTACCGTGGGGAGATGGTCAAAATCAACCAAAACTACTTCAACAAGCTGGTACGGGGTGTGTGTGTGTGTGTGTGTCTCAGTGACGCTGTTACCTACATGATTTATGACATTAAGCGGTACTCTTTTGTTGTCGCTTTTTGTCATTTAAATGCCAGCTGCGATGTTGGCATCATGTCATGAAATGAAGATATTGTAATTTGGAACTTTTACTGGAAAGCGTTGTATTACGTCGAGAATGGCTTCTGGAAGATGACATGGAACTATTTCTAAGATCCCTACAGTTGCTTCCTCCACACGTGCACATTATTACATGCCCTGCTACTAAGGTGTTGAGCGTATAAAAAAAAATACGAAAATTTGTGTGATTTATCATAGTTGCATGTTAGTTAAATTAAGTGGACATGTTAATTAAGTTATATATTTTTTGCATAGTCACAGGTATGACTTGGCTGAAACCATCAACCCCCTTTAGACTTGAGAACATTGTTCATCAGCTCTCCGCATCAACATGAAATATTTAGCATTGCACGAGTTTACTGCTTTCTGAACTTAGCCAGGAGCGTTCAGATGTACAGGTGACCCCCGACTTACGACAGCTCGACCTTAGATCCCCACAGTCACGACCAAAACTCGTATCTACGACCCCCTAACGACTGCTACTGAAGCCGAGTCACCTGATGGCACTAGTTTGCTCTTCCGCTGTGTGCGTATGTACAGTATAGGCCATCAGTCTGCAGCTGCGCCTTGAGCGAAAGCTCTTTCGCAATGCTCTTCACTTTTTTGTACATTTTGAAAATGTTCGTCTTTCGCGATGTCTGAGAAAAGGAAATGTGATGCACGTGCATATAAATACTTAAGAATTTTCAAATGTAAGTTTTTGTTTTTACTTGATAATTGTTTGTAAAAGTTATGTTAAGTTTCAATAAATGTTTGTTAGGGCTATTGACATTTTTGTTGTCAGTTTTGGTATTTTATTGATATGTGATCGGTTTCCAGGAACAGAACCCCAATTGATAACATTGCGCCTATGGGAAATAAGGATTCGACTTACGACGCCTGGACTCGCGACCATCGTCCAGGAACCAATTAGGCGCGGGGTCGCCTGTACACATGTGCCAGTCGTTCTGCCGACACGGTCACCGTTCTACTGCTGTAACGAGGCCTCGTCGTCGCTGTTGTGTGCGGCAGGAGCACCTATACAGGCTGGGCTCCACGGACGACCCCCGCTTTGAGAAGTTCCTGGCGCGTGTCTGGTGTCTGCTGCGGCGATACCGGGTAAGGGAGGAGTTGTAAGTAATTGAGCAAATCAGGTGCTGTCGGGGTGTTGCTCTCTACCCAGAATTAAAATATTTATTCGTACTGGAGGAATCTGATGAGCTATACAGTTCTTTTTCACAGATGCCCTGTAGTGGCAGGTCAGAACGTTACAACAACAACAAACAATACAAAACATGATCGGAGTGCGAAGTATAGGGAAGGTAAACAAATTGATCAAAAAAAGAAGTAAAAATAAAACGAAACTATCCATAATACAGTTTTTTTCCGTTATGTTGTGTAAATATAAATGTGTCGTTAAACCCGCCACCACCTGACACAGCCAATTAGTAAGGTTTGTCACGTAAACAGAACATGCCAATTCGTTACTGGTACAGCACACCGATGTGATGGAGAGCAAATCCACAACATTTACAATCTGAGTACGATTTTTCGCCAGTAATTACAAGTAGTATCAGCAGGCGGCAGCCAGATTTATGGAGAAATCCTCCTGTTTCGTTCCTTAAATAGACTAAACTAAACAATATTTATCTACCCCTCCTGGCCATGTATATTTCTGTCTTGTCGGCACGACAATGCCTCTGGTCACATCAGCAAAGTAGCAGCTGATGTGAATTTGGTTGTCATAGGTAATTTGCTTAAGAGCGTCATACAATGTTACGTCGCATACACATGAGGAAGTACAGAGATTATTCGAATAATCTCGTAGTTGAATTCCGGAGGAGTGCGACTTGAAGTGGAACGATGTTAAGTGAACCTATTTTCCTCCTAAGAAATACAGTAAAGTCGGAGGTTACGTTCCAGTGTATGTTTTTATTACCGGACAAGAACACCGTTATAAGTTGAAACACAGCAACACAATATAAAATAAATCTTGACTTAAAGCTTTCGTGACTGCAGGAATTCATATTCTTTGGGTCTTTCAGTGAAGCCACATAGATATAAAAATTATAATATAAATAATAACAATATCACGACGTTTCGTTCGCAACACAAGCAATCGTCATCAGGTGAAAAAATATAGCGGGAGAGCTCTGAGGCAGGAAAAATATATGGCGGGAGAGCTGTCATGGTATTGTTATTATTTTAATTTCAATGTTTTTTTTCTAAGTGGCTTTTCCAGAAAGACAAAAAGAATATAATATAAAAGAAATACAAATACAATGAAATAAAAATAAATCCTAATCAAGAAATATAAATTCTAATACGATATCACTCACCAATGATTTGAAGCGGGCGTATGGTAGTCAATGGTGGGTGGTAGTGGATGTTACTGGCAGGAGGAGGGGACGGAATCAGGCTGCTGCCTCGCCTTCACCCGAGTGCGCCGGTGACGTAGCTTCAGCTACGCCAATAATATGGCGTAGCGTAACAAACACTGAGATAGGATGCAAGGGATGCTGGGACAGCGCCCCGTTGTTGCTACACGCGATGACGCTCTCCACCTCACAAGGTAGTTCCCATTGCTGACAGGGACGATGTCAAAGGGAACGTCTTGGCATTATTAGGGAATTTACTTCCTATTGCATTGGCGACGGTATAAAGAAACAACGTCAATCGAATCGACGTTAATCGAGGGGGGTCGCCCTGTATGCTCATTCATTGCGTGTGATGCGAGAGGCACGGCTCGAGTTTTTGCGGCGGGGAATACAATCCGGCGTCTGCCGAACTGTGCCGGGCTGGCTTGCCGCGGCTCGGCCGTACGGTAGAAGAGAGGCATCGTTGTGTACTCTTTTCATTTGTCCGTGCCAGCAGACCATGTTCGGTGTGGGCGGCAGCGAGGGCGCAGGACTGCACGGCGCACTGCCGGTGCCCGTGTTTGAGGCACTGCATCGACACTTTGGCGTCACCTTCGAGTGCTTCGCGTCGCCCCTCAACTGCTACTTCCGACAGTACTGCTCCGCCTTCGCCGACACGGACGGATACTTTGGCTCTCGAGGGTGAGAGTCGCGTACACGAGCAGCGTAGGCGCGAGGGTCTCGGTTAAGGGGGTTATCACGGCCACTGCTGTGTTTTTGTCACCTTATCTTGCTGTCACTTCCTTCAGACAGATGCTGCGGCGATTGCACAGTCACATCGTGACCTTTGAATTCTCTGCCTAGCGTCTCTCTGTAGGTCTTCCCGTGGGTAAACAACTTCACGGTTGCACCCATCACATCCTCTATTTTCTTGGGATTGTTTGATAACAGAGGAAGACATTCACTCTCCCGTTATTAAAGCACTGGCCCGTTGTGCCGTGTGACCCTGCGCTCGCTCACCACAGGCCCATACTGGACTTCAATCCAGTAAGCGGCTCCTTTGAAGCCAACCCCCCCTTCGGAGAAGAACTCATGAATGCCATGGTGGATCACTTTGAGGTAAGGCGGTGTTTTGCTTTTCTCGTTTTGCTTGCTTTACTTTTCTCTGATTTAATTATAAGGGGAATTGTCAGTCAGCTGGCTTTTAATGATTCCCCTCCACCACCGTGAAATCTGTAGTCGTTGAGGGATATGCCACGTGCCTCTTGCAAGAGCCAGTCTGTCCACAGGACGACCAATTTGGCTATAATTTAATTGTAATAATTGGCTCAATTGACGACACCACTTTCATCCCCCCTCTATTTAAGACTGAAACAGGAGGGTTTACTCTCCAACACACCGGTGTGCTAAACTAGTAACTAATTGGCATGTTTTGTGTACGTGATAAACCTCATTAATTGGCTGTGGCGTGCTTAACGACACATTTATAATTACACGAACTAACCCAAAAAAACCTCTTAATTAAAAACCTCAATACATATGAGATCTGCACATTGATTCACGAATCCACTTACTGTCCTGCCAACCCTCATTTCTAAAGCATATTACAGACATGCACCACCAACACTCATAATCAAGCCAATCATCTTTGCATGGGTGAAATGTGCTCTGCATGCAGTTGTCCCAGTGTGTGAGCCACGGTGAAATATTGGTGCAGCGTTTAGTGCACTTCGCAATGAGCCCAGTGACCTGATTAAGATTCCTGGTCACGAGGAACAGCAGTAACGGGTGATATCTGGACCAGTCCTGAGCCTTGCCTAGATGGACTCGGCCATCTACAGTACATGTACATGGTGCAAAGTGTAAACATCGGCACTGGAGAGAAGACAGCACCTAACCCAACAACCTTGAAAAGGATTTAAAGCTTTTGTGACTGCACGGATTAATCTTCTTTGGTTCTTTCGGTAAGGTCACGTAGAATGACAATAAAATAATAAAATAACACAATAAAATTCTCACGACGTTTCGGCCACAACGCAAGCGGCCATCTTCAGGTGAAAGGTACAGACCTGTCGGGACGACAGAGCTTCAATGTCATCCCGACAGGTCTGTACCTTTCACCTGAAGACGGCCGCTTGCGTTGTGGCCGAAACGTGAGAATTTTATTGTGTTATTTTATTATTTTATTCTCATTCTACGTGACCTTACCGAAAGAACCAAAGAAGATGAAACCTTGAAAACGCTTCATGGCGGGGGGGATCTTTGCGCACGTGCTAGTGTGTCCGTGAGCCCTCGCGCTGTGTTTGCCCTTCCCCCTGCACCGGCACCGGCAGAATCTGATGTCGAGCTCGACAGAGCCGTTGTCCTTCATCGTGTTTGTGCCCGAGTGGCGCGAGCCTGTCACGCCGGCGCTGCTGCGCATGGAGGAGAGCCGCTTCAAGCGGCGCCAGGTCCTGGTGCCGGCCTTCGAGCACGAGTACCGCAACGGCGCGCAGCACGTGTGCAAGGGGTACGCGCCTCCACGAACGCTCGCGCACACACGCACACAAGCAGACAAACGCGTGCACACACAAAGACACACTTCCGCGCACGCACAGACACGCTTGCTCACAGACACATGCGTGCATACAAATGCATGCACTCAAAGGTTCCCCCATTTAGCCATAGAGACCGTTGCATCAAGCGCTGCTTGTGAGCATCGATGAGGTTGGCACACCACCTAGGTGGTCGGTGTGGTGTGGGCCAGCACCATGCCTGGCCACCTTTTGTTTCCCCAGTGCTGATTTTTTTCCTACACTCTGTCAGGTACTTATGTAGGGCTGAATCAACCCAGGGAAGGCCATGATAGGTTTAGATGCTGCTACAGCAGGAGAGCATTGTATTAATTAGGAAAAAAAGGTCGCTACAGGTGGGCTGTGCAGGTAGAGGAGCGCAGCTTAGACTCACATTGGAGTGGCACCCAGAAATTGCAGCAAAGGCGTAAGACAGATCGAGATGGTGGGATGTCGTAGGTGTAGACCTTGCAGTTCATTTGTCAGCTGAAACGTTTGCAGGACCAAGCAAAATGCAGGGTGAATTGGTGAGGTGTGTTGGCATCATAGTCATTAGTTGTGATGACCTCTTGGTGCTGTTGAATCTGTAGGGAGGACCTACACATCCGCGCGGTGCACGGCACGGCAATCATCTTCCTGCAGAACGATGCCGGCTTCGCCAGGTGGGAGCCCACGGCCGACCGTTTGCGCTTGCTGCTCGAGGCTTACCGCGTGCAGGGGCGGCAGCAGCAGGCGACACCCTCAACGCCCTCGACCACAGCCCCGAGCAGCACCCCTTCGCACACCGCCTCCACCTCCACTTCGTCACCGGCTGTCGAGTCATCGGCAGGGGGGTCGGCAGTGGTGTCCCCCACGACCTCATCTGCGGGACAGGGCGAGGGAAGTGGAACAGCAACAACAGCTGCAGCAGCAGAGCAGACTGAGAACCACGATGAGACGAAACAGCCCGTGCCTGCCGAGGAGCCCAAGAAGGAGGAGGATAAGATTCTGGAAAGTATTGAGGAGTGGATCTGAGGTAGCGGCACGGGTGCTCGTGGGAGACCGTGCGTGTCTGGGAGCCCCCCCCCGCCCACCGGTGTTGGTGGGGTATTGCCGTCGCCGGGATGGTAACAAGCTGGCGGCTTTGCTGCCGTCGCGATGAGGCCCGCCGTGATTGCGTCCGAGGATCGACTTCCACAAAAATGAAAGACAAATGGAAACTGTTGCTTTAGGCGTGCCACTTTGTGATTTTATTGTCCCCCCTTACATGCACCCTTTGCGCTGAGAAGTTTAGGGGGACCTATTTTAACGGCAACAAGACACCGAAGGCAACATTGGCCGGAACGTTTGCACCACAACCGGAAGGTTTGCCTCGCTGTGTGTAATTTGTCTTAAGGATAAAAAAAAACAACCCACCCACGTTTGGGAGAGGGCCGACTGCCCCCGCTTGCGTGACTGTCGTCACGTCACGAGTGCATCACGTCTGACTTGTGTTTAACGCAGGGAACGTGTTTGTTCAGTTGCTTGCATGCACTGTTGATGGACTTGCACATTCATCCTTGTTCATTTTACAAACCCAGGGTTTTAATGGAGAATTATTTTTTCAAATCCCTCAAGACATGTCAAATTATATCCAGTTGAGTTTTTTTTTGTTTGGAGCAGTCCGTCCCATTATACACCTGACACTGGTTTCCCTTCAAGCACTACCTCTTGAGTTTCTGCACTTAACTGCCGAAGAGCTTTTAAACATCTTTTGCCGTTTTTTTATGTTCATGCTATTTGAGAAGAGTCTGAAAAAAAACTAAATCTTATACAGTTTCATGGAAGCGTTGTTTTAACAAAGTCCAGATTAAATATTGGCGTGTTTTTGTCATCCAACAAATAGACTATCATAACAAAAAAAAAACAATGTTCTGCTTGGGCTACAGCTGTTAATTTGCAGCTTGAGCTTGGATATTGCTTGAGCTAGAAAATGCTTGCATAAGAAAATATACCCTGGCGTCTGTTAAATTCTGGAGTTGCTCGCATTCTATTTTTTTGTGTTTAAAAAAAAAATGTCATTTAAAAAAATCGCGTCAGACCGACATGCGTATGAAAGGCCGTTAAACCACTCCATGCGCGACACGTGCGCATCTGCTTGGGTTGCTGCTTTTCGCAACCTTTTTACCTCCCTACGAATGGGGAAACTCGACAAGAGGAGTCGTGAAGCACTGAAAGCAAATTTCCCTCCCTTTGGCCTCCGCAACACTCGGTCAGAGAGACGAAAGATGCCCCTTGGATTACAACCTCTCCACCTCACCCCCAAGATGTCATACTGATTTTAAAAACAAAAGTGCATTTTAAGCCAACGGTGAACGTAAATATTTTTGAAAGGCTGCCTTTTGGCACTTTTGTTTTAAAAGCATTTTTTACCGGTGTAATCTCTAAAATATTGAATTGCATCCGCTCACGTTAAAGGCCGCACCGTAATTTTATTTTCTTTGGGGTGCTCGTTTTCTCCGTGAAATGTAAGCTCTCCCATCCCGGGGACAACGGAGAGGAAGCATCGGGTGACGAGTGCGCGGTCATCCAGTATCGTTGCCCATCGCCCAACATCATTTAAGTCCAGCCGGATTTTCCCCCGGCTTGACCGGACTGGAGTTGACTAGGACACTTGGGTCATGTTTCCCCCCCCCCCAACCCTCCTCACCATTTATATAACCCACAGCGGCTCGTGAGTTTTTGAACATTGTGCTTGTTGTGAATAAGTCCACGTATTGTTGTTGTGCGTGCATTTTGCAAGGTCAGCTGCAGTAGTTAAGCTTATTTTTTTCAGGGGTGACGCATTTCCTGGTAGATCTTTGCAACTTGTGCTTGTCGTTTGATCGTCCGCTTTTGGCACAGGTTGGTGGTGGTGGTGGTGGTGTTCGTGGCTTTTTTGCTTAACTTTTAATGACCGTTAATGCTTAAACCTACATAATTAAAACACCTTAGCATTATCTAAATCTCATTAACAGTAATGTTGATATTGTTATTTTTGTAAGTAATATTTTTTTGTAAATAGACCCTTGTGTACAGCCATTTGCGTAAAGAAATTCATACAAACTAGAGACTGATGATTACCCCCCCAAGGCGTCGTGAAACGGACGTTACAGTAGTTGCCGATTGCACTCCGCTAAGGTAAACTTCTCTGTTCCTTGTGAGTGTCTGTCATGGTGCGCCATGCACGCTCTCTCCTCCCCGCTGTCGTGAATCAAGACGCATGGGATGTCTTCAGGTTCAGCGTATCTGCCAACTTGAGTATATATATATAAAAAAATGCAGTACAAAACGTTGTACGCCAGGAGCTATCACGCTGTTTTCTCTCCAGAGCTGAGTGGATGGGTTTTGGTCATTGAATCGCTGGGGTTGCCGGATTGGTTCATTTGTGTACACACCTGCTCGCAGTTTCCACTCACAAGCCACATCGGTTAACAATGACAATTGTTACCTTTTTAAATCTTTGTTAAGGAAGGGCACCACTTAAATCTTGGAAGGGGTCTTTCAGGATAGGGCTCTTTTAAGTGTCAGCCAACTCAGTTTTGAGATTATTAGTCATGTTGGAAAACTTAGAGTGCCAAGCAAAGATAATTATTTGTGTGGAACACTCAAAGCACAGATATGTGAAAAGCGTGTTGGCTGTATGTATTTCTACAACCAGATGGCTCTCATGTATACGGTAGATCTAACTGTAAATGTTATAGATCTTATCCCCCCTCCCCACTGCATGAACCACCAACCTGATTTTCAAAGTCTGTGCCACCACACCTATCAGTATTTAGTATTTACACCTGGTAAATACCGTAGTGTGTGCACTTGCAGGTGTGTTCGGTAGCATTAGTGCTCTTGACACAGGTCCTTGGTATTGCTGCACATTACTCAAAATAGAGCATTTCTTCACCGGCTTAGGCGTACTATTTGTCATTGTTATGGCAGATAAAGAGGGCAACCAGAATGACTTGGTTGGCTACCGCGCGTCATTGTGAGCACGTGGTGATTCAGAAACGCTAGAGAAAATGAAGATTTTTTTTTCATGAACAGTTAAAAATGCACCACTCGGTGTCTGCGAAATGGAAAGCTGAACAGCAAGTCCAGTACAATATTTACTTGTTGACCGAAGACATGTCATTGCCTGAGGTTAGAAAAAAAATTGTATCGTTCAAATAATGACATTACGCATTTTAAGGCTGGTCATGATCAAGATTGTGTAGCATTCGCTCTGTGCTTGTGTTCAACTTCCGAAGCAGTTCTATTCCTTATTTGTAACTTCGCTGTAACATTTACACAGTACGTACAGTGATATTAGAAAAAAACATTTATGCCGTGGGTGGTCATGCAGTACTGCCGTGGGTGGATAACGACACCTGAAATTTGCATGTTTGTTTGTCATGTGGGAGATGTCTCAACTCCACCGTGTCGGTATGGGGGTGGTTTCGGCATCGTCTCAGTGACCTCTTCAAACTCATGCAACTTCAGTCCTCAGAGCATTGGCCTGTAGTTGCATCTGGAAGCGCGTATTTGTCCCATTAAATAGAGGTGTGCGTGTCAGGATTGTCAGGTTCATTTCTTGGACCCTCGAGACAATTGTTTGAAGACAGATTATTGGGTCTTGGTGGATTTTAAGATTCTACACCTCAACTTGCAGCAGAGCTCTTTACTACGTACATTAAGTCAACAATGCTAATGTGTTTCCTGATTAATTTGGTGATGCTGCCTGCGTTGGCAGCGGCGCACAAGTACAAATAACAACAAAACTCAACACGTGTCAATGACACTAGCCTTGAAAAATAATCGGTGACGTTCATGCAATGGACCTTAAGAGCACAGAGTGGCCCAGAGAGATGTGGAGTGGACCCGAGTTGGAGGCCACTCCTTGTATTCCACGGGACATAGATTCAAATAAAATAAATATTTATTGATTACAGCTTTTGCATGATCCCACACTCATTGATGTATTCCTTAGCTCAATTGTCATTGAATTTGGATTGGAGCTTCTACGAACTGTGGGTCAAAGATACCGAAGGTTTTCCAATTTTTGTTAATTCCTGAACTTTGCAAGCAGGATGAAGCAAATTTAATTATTGCCCTTGCTGGCTTTTTTTAAACTGAGACACGCGTTGTACAAATGTGTTCCAATAGGTGGTTGGGTACACTATTAGATCCCGAACAATTGTAAAGTTTTCTCGTTTAATCAACTTTTAAACGGAGGCAAGAGGCGTCATTTGATTTAAGCTGGCTTCTGTTGACTGTGTGCGTAGTAGCCCCTATGCTGTGTTGTGTGCATCTCGCGCTGCAGTCGGGGGGGGGGGGGGAACACGCTACCTGGTTGAAACGTAGTCCCAACTGCTCGATGTATAAATGTGCGACTTTAACCTGAACACAGGCAGTGCATAACCCTATACGAATACATTGCCTGCCTGCATTATGTAAATCGGGTGCCGCTGCCGTAAATGAGAGTTTCCTGTAGATGCGTTAGGTGTCAAGTTATGTCATAGTAATACGTAATTATTACACAATGGGCGCCCTCCCCGAACCCTGTAGGAATTAGACCCGATTGTTTATCTACAGTAAGCTCACAGGCCCATGTTATGCGGTCACGGGTGTGCGTCCGTCGTGTATTTATGCGGGTGGCAATGTGCGCGCGCGCGTTGTAACGACCAATGGCAGTCTATAGAAGTTGGCGAACGACGAGACCCAAAAATTAATGCCCAGGGTCTGGCCCAGGGGTGTGGTCTTGTGACTTTAGTGATATCAGTGAAGGTTCTTACCTTTGCATACAGGTGGGGGATGGGGGGGGGGCACGGTTGAGGGGGGGGGTATGGGGGAGGAATCGCCTCCCGCCCAGTGTTACTCGGCAAAGGATGATGTCTCTGTTTCTTCTAAAACTGGAGACTATAAAAGTCCTATGTTGGAGAGTACCAGGGTGCGTTTCCACCCATGTTGTTGTATAACGTCACAGTAGCCTTGTGTTGAAGGAAATACATCAGCTGTGTGTGGATACAACATATGGAGCTATGGCCCCACCCCTCAACTTTTACTGCGTTAAATTACAAGCTAAGGTGTTTGTGCAATCGGCCACCGATCCACGTGTCGATTCAAGATGGTTTTGTGCACTAGTTGCTCACAACAAAAATGCTCCGAATGAGTGTTTTCTTTAAAAATGTCATTGGGGAGAATGGCTTTGCTCACTATTATAGACCACATCCACAATTTAAGACGCTCCTCGTAGACGTGGGTTTTATGAGGATGGAGCGCATCAAGATAATACGTACGGCTGTGTTAAATATCCATCAGTAAATACATCTACATTCCTATCTTAAGCGTAAATATTCCTGATCAAACAATGGGGTGGGTGACAAATCTATAGTGCTCCTCAAGTGGTTGGAAGTTCCACATTCCCATGGAAAGTGTCTGCGACTAATCCACTATTCATTTTGAAATAGTACTAACTTTATCGACCTAAAGAGATGGACATTTCAACTGGACATTTCAACTGGACTTCTGACTCGATTTCCGCTGGTTGCCATGGTACAGCCACCTGTTGCCGTTTTGCGCACACACATTTTAAATTCTACAAAAAACACCAAATAGTGCACGCAAAAATCCCCTGGTAACAGGCAAAAAAACCCCTATTTTAACGTTTGCTGGCCAAACGATAACGTTGAAGCTTACGCGATGTTGAGTACGTCGTACGCGCAGTGTGACCCCAAATACAAAGTGATGATTGCACCCAGGATTTCTCGTGTAACCTCACATGCGTTTAAACTTAACGCCACTAGACTACTGCGTAACCTTCGCACGAAATGGGACTAATCGGATTGTATTCGGACTGCATTTGGTTGTAGTGTACACAAACGCAGCAAAAACATAACTTTGCCATGAACGGGTACCCTTAATAACAAAGGTATTGAGGATTTATTATTAAATTATAAGCTTTTTCATTGCATTGTTGTCAATCTGTTTGCTAAGCTGGAGAATGATGCCCATATCCATCTGGCGTTGAGCTATTCATGGTTGGGGGCCAGTTTGCTAACAGGAAAACCACCCTTGGTTTCTAAAAAAACAGTTGCCTATGTTTGTTTTCTTGGAGGGATGATGGACTTTTTAAGGACTACGGTTTAAAGAAAACACGCTTCCTGCTGTGAATGCTTAGGATGTATCCCGGTGTTTCAAGTGATATGTATTTTTGTTGCATTCGGTCACGCGCTTGCCACCAAAAGTATCATTACCGTATTCCCTTGCTATTCGCGACAAGGGATACGTTCCGGAGATGCTCGTGAGTAGCAAATTTCGCGGATCATGATATTGGCCGACGAATTACCTTAAATACATAAATAAGCTTTAAATACATGGAAATTCTTAACGCAAAAAATTGTTATCGTCTAAATTTTACTTTCGAACATGCTGCACAGTAGCATCATCACCGCTTGATATCGTCACTTTCTCGCATCACATTCTCTCTCACGACTTAACTCTCGATGCAGTCGTGTCGGGTTCCAGATGCGATTCGCGGATATCAAAGTCCGCGAATAGCGAGGGAATGCTGCGAGCCACTTTTGAGCTTCTAAGCATTTTACGCCGATATTGTTAAAAAAACAACAACCAAGAGGTCATGAATGTCAATCGTTGTGAGAGGGCGAGATAAGAAATAATATTTAACAATGATTGAGGGGAGGAAATCCTCTTCGTGTCTCCTGCAGATTTTGACAACTGCTGTGTGTACAGAATTGCCCCGTTAACATTTATAGCCCAACAGGTTGAACGCGGTCAGAAGGCAAAAAAAACCTCGGTTGTGGATGACGTCACATTTTATTGTATACATAACACCAGCGTGGTTTAACAATTCATTTTCTTGGGCATTTTAACTGTTTCTGCTCTTTTGGACTTGCTGGGTTTCATGAAAATGTGTTTCCCCCCCCTCTTCCCATTTTAAAGGGGTTCCGTTTAAAATGTTCTAAAGTTCGGGCATGCCTTGGACTGGTAACCTATTGTTTCAACAACATTTGTTGTCAAGTGTTTTTATTTTAACTTTTTATACGAGTAACGGTCGCGTACACACACACACGAGTGTTTTGAAGGCAACTGCAGTAATTGCTCATAACCAGGTGTTGCCCATTGGAAGGTGATGTAAATATGTTGTGCTGATTAAAAAAAATCTTACCCCTTTACCAGCCATCCTTTATTTCTTCCTGACAGCGCATTCCATTGCTCCGTCAGGCTGCATTCGATGGTCCTAAATCTTGGGAGACTTTTCTCGCACTGGCAGATCAGAAACGTCCGACCATCGAAACCTCATTTTGCCGATGTACACATTGTGCAATTTTCAGACGCCAATGTGGATGTTCACATTTTTGTTGGCTCACTGTTTTTTTTCCCTTGGTGAGTATTAACTTAATCGGCATGTTTTTAAACGACGCAGGGCATCCTCTCTATGTTTTGAGATGTCGAGACGGCACGTGGGGGTGCAACACCGGGTCAAAGTCAGGGGCGGAGCCAGGATTTTGACTTTGGGGGGGGGGGGGGGGGGGCTGATTTCAATATTCTGAGATATCCAGTGTTTATGTTTTCCAATGGGCGCCACAAATATATAAAACACATTTTATTGGATTTGAACGCAGAGTTTATTAATAGGTCGGAGCCGCTGATGTGGCTAATAAGTTCGATAAGTTCGAAAGGCTGCCGCTCAAGCAGCCTGCAGGGCAGCACACGAGGTGGCAGCCTGCAGGGCAGCACAAGGTGGCAGCCTGCAGGGCAGCACGAGGTGGCAGCCTGCAGGGCAGCACGAGGTGGCAACCTGCAGGGCAGTATGAGGTGGCAGCCTGCAGGGCAGTACAAGGTGGCAGCCTGCAGGGCAGCACGAGGTGGCAGCCTGCAGCATTTTGCAGCAGCCGGATATCCGGTTTTCCCGATTACCGACTTTCCAAAAATTTCAGGGGGGGCTAAGCCCCCAGCCCCCCCTGTGTCTCTGCCCCTGGTCAGAGGACAGCTGGCAACTGGCGAGTTCCTGGGTTCGAATCTGGCCAGCTATCCTCGACTTATTTGATTGGGTTCTCAAGTGCACTGGATTATCGCCGACGACTGCACACAAATTAAAACTCCCATCCAAAAAAATGTTTTTCCCTCTCCTGGTGCTTTCCATGTCTGACATGAAAAATGTTAATTTCACATGCCATGAACACTACTTTTGAGACTTCGAATGTCCTCGCGAGTAGCGTCTTGTCCTCCGGGGCCATTCTGTCACGGCGGTGTACTGCTGCACCAGGTGCTCAATGGAAATGCCTCTGCCTCATGACATTGCTCAAAGCACAATCGGAATTTAAAATCCCCCTTTTGACATTTTAGCATTAGCCTTCTCCCCCCTAACCTAATTGGTTTGTACACTTAAATCAGTTTGAAGTGTGGGACATTTGTGCTTTGGAGGTAGGGTTGGTGGATCATGTAGATTCGGAGTCCGCAACCAAAATAAGAGCCATCTGTTTCGAAAAACCCTTTCAATAACGTCACGAATTTGTCCTCAGCCACCACGTTCGGCTTTGGAGCCCACAGGTCGAAGGCAAGGGGTGAGTCTGAGGTTCACCGCTTGCCTGTGGAGCTTTGAATGGTATTCGCATCTTCTGGGTTCTTTCGGTAAAGTCACGTAGAATGGAGATAAAAATAACAGAATTCTCACGACGTTTCAGCCACAACACAAGTAGCCTTCCTCAGGTGAAGGAACAGAACTGTCCGGAAGACAGCGCTGTCTTAACCGCTGTCTTCCGGACAGTCCTGTTTCTTCACCTGAGGAAGGCTTCTTGTGTTGTGGCCCGAAACGTCGTGAGAATTTTATTGTTATTTTTATGATTTTATCTCCATTCTACGTGGACTTTACCGAAAGAACCCAGAAGATGAATCCCTGCAGCCACGAAAGCTTTAAATCGAAATGGTCTTCGCATGTTCTTTGGTTCTTTCAGTAAAGTCACGTAGAATGAGAATAAAATAATAAAATTAAACAATAAAATTCTCACGACGTTTTGGCCACAACACAAGCGCTGTCTTCTGGACAGTCCTGTTTCTTCACCTGAGGACGGTTACTTGTGTTGTGGCCGAAACGTCGTGAGAATTTAATTGTTTTATTATTTTATTCTCATTCTACGTATACTTTACCGAAAGAACCAAAGAAGATTAATCCTTGCAGTCACGAAAAGCTTTAAATCGGTATTCGCATGTTTTCTCACACAAACCAGTAATGTACATTCGCCAACCATTTCTGTGCAGCACACTTCTGAACATCTTGGGGCTCTGCAGAGCCTTTATTGGGTGACAAAATAATTAATATTCATTCAAATATTTATTTACCATCTGCCGAAACACTTTCCGCACTCTCCCGATTGCAAATTGAGGCCCCTCGTGGTGTTTTTTGGAGAGTTCTTACAATACATTTAGTCTCGAGCAGAAGTGGCTGAGCCTTTCCCAGGACAAAACAAGGACTTTCAAATATTTTGGTGGGGCCACGCGTTGACACCCCTTCGTGTCGTCCAATAATAACGCAAAAATTGAACCTGCACGTCCACTGGCACATAAAGAGGCCCTTGTCGTAATCGTACCAAGCGTGTAAACTTATTATTTTACCAGGGAAGACCCACTGAGCTGTACAGCTGTTTTTCAAAAGCGACCTGGCCACAAATGATAGCTCTAAGAAGTTGCGTATCAATCATGTCGAAATTTATAGCCACCAAATACTCTTATTAAAGACGTCACGATTCTCAATGTCGAAGGAAAACCGGAGGACTCGGTGAAAAATCCACGCGACCTCGGGGAGAACCCGCAAACTCCAAATATCTCGGCGCCAGGGTCCGGATCGAACCTACGACCTGTCCACCAGGCGAGGTAGTTAACATCTCGCCGCCTTGATGCCCAGTACAAAAATAACCCCCTTCTGGTACTCGATTTGTGTGGCCAAGATGCTTGCAGCAACAAATAAATGAGCAATTTCCAAGTTTTTATTTAAAGCTTTCGTGACTGCAGTAATTCATATTCTTAGCTCTTTCGGTAAAGTCACGTTGAAGGGAAACAATAATGTATATATTGTTTTATATTTTTTTTTTTATTTTATTGTTATATATTTTATTGTTTCCCTTCAACGTGACTTTACCGAAAGAGCTAAGAATACAATTTCCAAGTGGTAAGGCCTCATGTTTTGCCACGGGTCACGTCTCCCCATCCCTGGTCTAGAAGGTCCATTGGTCACCGGGACTTCCAACAATGTTGGCAATTCAATAGCCTCTTGATTGCGCCTTAATTTATAAAGACGGTGCACGAGGAGGAGCATGTCCATTGGCGTACTGAACCGAATCCCGTATTGGAGACCCCAGGGCCGACCCAGGACGCGCTGGGGGGACGATGTCCCTCAGCTGGCCTGGGAATTCCCCAGGAAGAGCTCTAGGATGTGTATAGTAATTTACAGTCGTTACTTTTGAATTTAACTATAATTTTTGTGTACCTTCAACCTCACTGGTAGTTTCACGCTCGTAAAAAAACAAGATCAGACGCGTGCAACAGACCGTTTTTTTAATTCATCACAGCCACCGATTTGTAAAGGAATACAGGTTTATCCATTCTTAAACAAGCACGGGCCGGTGTATATCATTACTGGCCACCCCGAGCCAGCGGTGGAAATTCCACATTCCTATGGTGGGAGGCCTGTCTACCCACAGGATGACTACGAGTAGCTTATAGCAGTGGTACTCATTTTATCAACCCCAAAAGGAATGGTCGGCCGAGTTGACTTGGCCTTCTCACTGAAGACCCTCGGACGAGCGAGTCTCAAATCCGAACCACGGCGACACGTCTTTGCCTCGACCCAAAGTTCAAAAGGGTGAAGCCCAATTGCGGAAACAAAAACCCCCGTCGAGAAAACCGCGTAGCGCGATAACATTTTTTTTTTTAAAGCGTGGCCCTCCCCCAACTATACGGTTCTGTTCTCCTATAACGCCTCGATAGCGTTCCTGAAGAACTCGGCGTTATGGAAAAATCGCGGGATAATAAATAATAAGGGGTAAAGCACAGTCCGCGGTAACACGTGAGATGCGTACGCAGGCTGAGCCAAGACTGAGGTGCGTGGGTAGCATCTAGAAGCATCCAGCAGCATCCCCATGTGTGATGCTACGCCGAGGCAGCCGTACAACCACTTATCCCTCCTCGCGCGACGTAGTTCCGTTCACTCAATCGTGCTATATATCCAATTCGTATCCGCGTTATAAATAAAATACATTCCCAAACACATTCGTCGCATTATAGCCAATTCGTGTTATGAAAACCACACGCGGCGTTATAGGAGGAACAGACCGAGCAAGGCGGATTGGCTTATATGGAAGACAGGAAGTCTTTGAGGCTGCCCTTCTGCTGCTGCCTCTGCTGCTCCATCTGCAGCAGCTGCTTGAGCTGAGCGAAGGGTTTCCGCTTGGCGCTGCCGGGCGTACTGGCAGCGGGAGATTGCGTTGACCTGCTGGTGAGGCGGTGGGGGGGGACAAAGGAAAGGGGGAGCGGCTCTCATTGCTGGGGCTCGTCGTAACGACGATGACGACAATTTGTGCGTTTCGTGCCGTGGCACGGCAAGCCCGGGAGCCGTGCATCGACAAGGAGTCGTGATATAAAATCGGAAATCTTCATTTAGACTGACTGCTGCTACTGCTGCTACTGCTGCTGCTACTGCTGCTACTGCTGCTGCTACTGCTGCTGCTACTGCTGCTGCTACTGCTGCTACTGCAGCACCAGGAGGAGGAATCCGATGAGCTGTGAAGCTCTTTTTTCACACACGTCCAGTCGGAGGCCACGGGTTCAGCGAGTTAAAACAGAGCGGCAAATAATACAAAAAGACACGACAGGAGCGAAAAATGTAGAAAATGGTTCAGCTAGTCACAAAATATAAATATATACGTCCGATTTATCAACATTGGGCGATGTAGAAAAAACATTAACATCATCAGTCCCAGACCACACCAAGATAACACCACACAGTAGTCCATTTATAAAGTGGCACACCACTAACACGATGCCAGGTACCGTGAAATGTGATTAGGTTGGAGTGGTGAGATTTTGGGTCACGATCCTGTTTTGAAGAATCCATTATTTCTATTTCACGTTGAGGTGACCGGTAGAACCTTTAGTCGCTGTACGGGGGGCGACGACGTGCAATTTAACGCACTCACCCGTGAGCTTGAACGTCGATATTAATCAATGCGTTGTTCCACCCTGAAAGTCAGTTAAGGCCATGGCCTTGGGCAATCGTGGATATGGCAACCTTCACCAGCAACACCTTCACTACAAATATCTGTCCCCCTCCCGCCACCCCGCGGGACCTCCCGACTACCATGGTTGGCTACGTACGGTTTCGAAACAAGTTCAACACACGTACATACATGCAAATTAACATCGCAAGCACTGCTATGAAGAAGGCGCATTACCCCAAGTGTCTCCTCTTAAAGTCCCCTTCAAGGGCCACAGCGTAAGTCGCTAGCGTTGAGTTTTTTAGCTCGGCGTTCGTTGAGGTCTGCGCCCTGTCGCCTTGCCACTGGGAATCTGGCGGGGGGGGGGGGGGGGGGGCATAGATCGGACTGTCCAACCCCCACCGACTGCGTCGACATTGCTCTCCTCCTGCCGTGCTTTATTCTTAACGCTCCAGGTCAAACTTCCCCGCGTCGTCCGCACCCACCCAAGCATACTTCACCCACCGGTTATCCGAGCTCTCCTCTCGATAGTCCCCTCCTCCACGGCCAACAGAAGCGACCCAACGCGGAGGGGGTAGGGGGGTAGGGGGTGGGGGTATTTGGCACCTGGGCGTGGTGGCTGCCGGGCCGGCACGCGGTGTTGCCCTGCCCCTCGGTGTGGTCGGCGTCCAGTTGGCCGGCGTCCGTGACGCCGGCGTCGCTCTGCCTGACGACGCCGGCGTCGCTCTGCCGGACGACGCCGACTCGCCGGGCGCCGGCGTCGCGCGTCGCCGCCTGCGGCGCCGGGGTGCGCCCCCCCCCCCACCGGCCACGGCGCCACCCTCCGTCGCGCCGGCGTCGTGGTGGCGGCGGCGGCGGCGGTGTCCGTGACGCCGGTGGCTCAGCGTCGCGGCGATCTCGGCTCGCGTGCTGCCACGGACCCGGGACGTCCTCTTGCAGGTGAAGCACGCTATGGCCTTCCGGGGGAAGTGGGACGGCAGAATGATTGGGTGGATGAGTGGAATGTCTGGGCAGAGCTTAACGAAGGGGCGCTTGAAAGAAGTCGAGCGCGCGGGAATGCGGCCATTGACAGATGGGGTTGGCGGATCACCGGAGGAGAAGACCGTGGGGCCCGTGTGTCGAGACCCAGAGCTTGCGGGCCGAAAACGCGGACGCAAGAGACGGCAGCACCGCAAGTGAGCTCACGAGTTGTCCCCTCGCTTGCACGCCGGTCGTTTACTCCGGGGACTCGGGCTTCCTCTCGCATGTAAACCCAGCGGCCGCGCCACACGCATGTAAACCTCGCGGCCACGCCACACTGTGCCAGTTGTGGCGGTGGTTTTGACCGTACTTCACCCATGCTCGTGAGCGGAGGTTCAAGTTAAAATTTAGTTCACCCAGGTGAGAACGCAAGTGGAGACCGGGCCGAGTCTCGTTTGGAAGAGTAACCTATGAACTATGAAGCTGTTTCTATTTTACCAGGTAAGGCCCACTATATTTTTCAGAAGCGACCTGGCCACAAATGACAGCTGTGTGTGTGTGTGCGTGAGCAGGGTGTTGACGGTGTGCCATGTGTGCAGTGTGTGAATGAGTGGTGTATATTGTATGTGTGAGCGGTGTGTGTATGTGTGAGCGGTGTGTGTATGTGTGAGCGGTGTGTGTATGTGTGAGCGGTGTGTATGTGCGAGCGGTGTGTATGTGTGAGCGGTGTGTGTATGTGTGAGCGGTGTGTGTATGTGTGAGCGGTGTGTGTATGTGCGAGCGGTGTGTATGTGTGAGCGGTGTATGTATGTATGTGCGTGCGGTGTGTTGGCGGTGCGTGTGTGGTGTGCGAGTGCGGTGTTTGTGGTGTGTGTGGTGTGTTGGTGGTGCATGTGTGGTGTGCGGTGTGTGTGGTGTGTGTGGTGCGTGTGAGGTGTGTGTGTGTGTGGTACGTGTTTGCGCTACGTGTGCGGTGTGTTCGTGCGGTGTATGCAGTGCACGCGGTGCGCGTGGTGTGTGTGGTGTGGTGTGTGGTGTGTGTGTGGTGTGTGTGGTGTGCACGTGGTGTGTTTGTGGTGTGGTGTGTGTGGTGTGTGTGGTGTGTGTGCGTGGTGTGTGTGCGTGGTGTGTGTGCGTGGTGTGTGTGCGTGGTGTGTGTGCGTGGTGTGTGTGTGTGGTGTGTGTGTGGTGTGTGTGTGGTGTGTGCGTGGTGTGTTTGTGGTGTGTGTGGTATGTTTGTGGTGTGTTTGTGGTGTGTGTGTAGTGTGTGTGGTGTGTGTGTGTGGTGTGTGTGGTGTGTGTGTGTGTGTAGTGTGTGGTGTGTGTGTGGTGTGTGTGTGTGTGGTGTGTGTGTGGTGTGTGTGTGTGTAGTGTGTGGTGTGTGTGTGGTGTGTGTGTGTGGTGTTTGTGTGTGGTGTGTGTGTGTGTAGTGTGTGGTGTGTGTGTGTGGTGTGTGTGTGGGGTGTGTGTGTGTAGTGTGTGGTGTGTGTGTGGTGTGTGTGTGTGGTGTTTGTGTGTGGTGTGTGTGTGTGTAGTGTGTGGTGTGTGTGTGTTGTGTGTGTGGTGTGTGTGTGGTGTGTGTGTGTGGTGTGTGTGTGTGGTGTGTTTGTGATGTGTGTGTGTGGTGTGTGTGTGATGTGTGTGGTGTGTGTGTGTGGTGTGTGGTGTGTGTGAGTGTGTGGTGTGTGTGTGGTGTGTGAGTGTGGTGTGTGTGTGTGTGAGTGTGTGGTGTGTGTGTGATGTGTGTGATGTGTGTGTGTGGTGTGTGTGTGTGTAGTGTGTGTGTGGTGTGTGTGATGTGTGTGTGTGGTGTGTGTGTGTGTAGTGTGTGTGTGGTGTGTGTGATGTGTGTGTGTGTGGTGTGTGGTGTGTGTGGTGTGTGTGTGGTGTGTGTGTGGTGTGTGTGGTGTGTGTGTGGTGTGTGATGTGTGTGATGTGTGTGGTGTGTGTGTGGTGTGTGTGTGGTGTGTGTGTGCGGTGCGCGGGCGTGTGAGCGGCGCGCGTTCGCGGTGCGCGATGGCGACTTCGCCACTCACGACGGTGCCGGCGGCGTTGCGGTGTCGACGCAGGCGCCGAGCGGCGCCCCGCTCCAGCCGCTCCCCGCGGTCTTCCCGCGCCGCCGCATCGCGAAGCAGCGCGGCGACGCGCCGCGACGCGGCGGCGCGCGGACGCGGACGCAGGCGCACGTGGCACGAGCCGGCGCCCAGCTCGGCGCCGCACAGCGCACAGAAGCCCGTCAGGTGCCGCCGCCGGTCTGCAGTGGGTCGCCGGGGGGAGGGGGGTCGGTGGAAGTTAGCGGCGGTGCACGGAGCGGGTCTGGGTTCACAACCCGATTCAGGTGCCTCTTCTACGCGGAGTTTGTATGTTCCCCTCCCGTTCCGCGTGGGTTTCCTCCAGGTTCCCCCCATTGTCCGATTCCCGCTCACGGCCAACACCGAGGGCCTCCCCCTAGGTTGATTCTGCCTCAAATGACTACCCGGTGCGGTGTGTAAGCAAAGGCGGTCGGACGTGATGCTGGTCACCCACCACCTCGTGTGCCACGGTGCTAGCCTTCAGAGGTGCTACTCGCTAACAGCACTTGCCTTAACAGTCTGATCAGGCTATAGGGGGGACCTCTGCCTTTGTGTGTGTGTGTAGTGGCACTGCGAGGACTGACCGAGGGTGACTTTATGAGCAGCTGCCCACGCGGCCCGCTCCCTGTAGATGCACCTGCAGGCACACAACACGGACCCACACATCAGCGCGGAGACGATGAATCAATCACAACAGATACACCAACTGGTCAGGTGATACAGCGAGCAGTTCGGTAACTAGAAAGGCGAGAGTTCAAATCCAGGTGCGGGGGAGGGGGGGCTTGACTCAGCCCATCATCCCTCCAGGGTTAAAAATAAAGAGTCACTTTGTGGCGACGTAAATAATCCTCGTCTTATGAAAAGACTCGTCCCTGCCATGGGAATGTGCTATTTGAGCAAAACAAATATTTTGACTTTTAAAGTTTCCTTAAATGACATGCCCACTGGGCATGTCAAAATCGATGTTTCTTCATTCATTCAACATATACTTTTTTTAAGGCCAGTGAGATGAAGCAAACGAGGCAGACAGACAGAAGTACAGACAGTGCAAGACCTCCGGTTAGCACGGTTGGATACGTACGGTGTGAAAGAAGTTCAACATAAATACATGCAGAAGAGGTTTTTGGCTCGCCATTGAACCAAGGAGGTCAATGCACACTTTGAGATCCGCTTCTGGAACGATCTTCCTCGCAGTAATAGGAAGCGACTGGAAATATGCACTTTTAAATCATCTAGATTGACATCGCATCTCTACGGAACTGCTTTTCGTGTTCAGCTTGTTGTCCTTCCCCCGTACCTCCGATTAGCACGGTTGGCTCTGTACGGTGCGAAAGAAGTTCAACGTACGGTACAGAGTAGAATGAGAGTTCAAAGGAGACAGAACGGACAAAGCAAACAACGCGGAAGAGATGGCATCAGATGATGTCAGGGGATCTGTAAATTCCACCGTGAAGCAGGCGGGGGCATAGTGCTATACGGTTACTACACCCGCAACGGTAATAACCAGGATGGCCTACTGCATTCGAACCACGGACCTCTGCAACAACCCAGTAGACGTGCCAACGCTGGGCTCAACGTTGGCACGTGGTTGGAACCGTTGGACTAACATTGAAATTGATGTGAAGTTGCAGCCATGATTTTACATCGAGGTGGTTAATGAGCCAGATGATTGTGGCAGGAGTAGCGGAGTGCATCACTGTGAAGATGCCTCCTATGCGAGCTCATGGGTCTCTGTGTGAATCTGTATATTTCTCTGCGAGCCTATGGTTCTCAGTGTGAATCTACCGATCTTCGCGTGAGTCTATGGGTCTTTGTACGAATCTGGGCCCCGTAGTAAACCGCAGGGTCATGGTCACCGCTGGGGCCCGGGGGTCACCGGCGGGCCCCCGGGGGTCACCGACGGGCGGGCCCCCGGGGTCACCGGCGGGCCCCCCGGGGGTCACCGGCATCTCGCTCACCGCAGGTACCGTGCCTGCTCGGGGCACGCGGTCCCCAAGCTCCCCGCCGCTTCCCACAGGAAGTTCAGGTGGCTGGTCACCAAGCGCGCCCTCTCCGTCAGGTCGTGCATCCTGCGGAAAAACACCGATCATGCGGCGTGCCACAGCGCAGCGCAGTTGTTCACGCGCCGCCAACACCGCCGCCGCCAACACCGCCGCCGCCAACACCGCCAACACCGCCGCCAACACCGCCAACACCGCCGCCGCCAACACCGCCGCCGCCCCCGTGCCGCCCCCGTGCCGCCACGGCGTTAACGGGTTGCCACAACCGGACCGGCATTTTCCATCTCCCGGCGCGGCGGCTGAAACGATGGGCGGGTTTCTCAGAGCCACCACCGAGCGCCTCTCTGTCCCCACGTCCCCACGTGGGGACACGCGTGCGTACGCGTACACGCGTACACACACGTACACACGCGTACACATTCACACAACACACACGCGCACACACACACGTACACATACACACAACACACACATGTACACGCGTACACACACACACTTACACACGCGTACACACACAGACGTACACACACTTACACACGCGTACACACGTACACACACACACGCGTACACACACACGTACACACACACGTACACACACACACACGTACACACACACGTACACACACACATACACACACACACGTACACACATACACGTACACACACACGTACACACACGTACACACACACGTACACACACGTACACACACACATACACACACGTACACACACACGTACACACACACGCGTACACACACGCGTACACACACACGTACACACACACGCGTACACACACACGCGTACATACACACACGTACACACACACACGTACACACATACACACACGTACACACACACGTACACACACACGTACACACATACACACACACGTACACACACACATACACACACGTACACACACACACGTACACACACACATACACAGAGAATGGCCCAGCCCTGCAGTGTCTTGCCCACGCGTCTGTTGGAGGAAGTCCGCCCACGACTAGCGGGTGATCTCGGGTGATCTCGGGAGATCTCGGGTGATCTCGGGTGATCTCGAGAGAGCCTTTTGAGGAGGTATTTGGCCTACTCTTCCACGATGGCTCCCAGACCGTCTTGGGAGGGGTGCCAGTTACCACAACCCCACCGACCTGCCGGACGTACACTCACTGTGGTGTGCCCGTGTCCTGTATACTGTAGGAGCTTAGAGGTGGGGGGGGGGGGAGATTTAATAAACTTGCCCAATTAGACACAAACTCACTACGTATTTAATACTGGAGGAATCAGATGAGCTATAAAGCTCTTTTTTCGAATTTGTCCAGCTGCTACATAAAATCAAAACGACATGAAATCAAATCTACATTAAATCAAATATACATAAAATCAAAACGACATAAAATCTCCCGGGTCCGCGACTAATAAATGTGGCTAACACAATAGCGCTCCTAACACGGAGTACAATTTCAACATTTCGTGATCATTCAAGTAATTAAGCAGACAGTTCGTCTCCTTGCCATACCTCAACGTGTACCAATATCAATGTAGTTTTACAGCGTTGGCTTTCGCGACCAATATCATCCACATAATAAAGGTTTTGTTGTGTGTCTTGTTCGCTCGCGAAAAAAAATTAAACTAAACTATCCATAATACAGTTTTTGTTTGCGTTATATTGTGTAAATATAAATGTGTCGTTAAACCGGCCACCACCCGACACAATTAGTAAGGTTTGTCACGTAAACAGAATGTGCCAATTCGTTACTTTATTTTGTTCACACATCCCATGAGTAACGGTCTGCGTATTAACCTCGCTACTTTTTACACCCTCCACAATAGCGTGAACCCTTAACAGCGTTATAGTGTCGGGCCTGCTGCATCGTCAATAACTCTCAAAGCCTTCCAGACACGACTCTTAAATAAGAGTTATTTTGTACATAAGAACAATTATAGGTTTTTTACAATTTTCTGGCAATAAAAATACGAATGCGTTAAAAGATGTTTCGAACAACTTTTGCAAGGAATCAATTGTACTGCATTAGGCACGCCGCAAGACGCGTTGCGAACATGATCTCATTAAACAAAATGCATCGCCTTTGAAAGCGACTTTGCCTTCTCGACACAACTGTTACGCCTTCTCTTGTAACCATTCATTTAAAAAAAAAATAAAGTCGGGATTCGTATCGTGACGACGAGTATGAAATAAACGGGCTTTGTTTAACTTCACCTGCTCGTTGCTCGCTGCTGCTGCTGATGATGACGACGATGCCGGGAAAAACCAGCCCGCACTGACGATAGCGCGTACGGATGTACAGTGCAAAGCAGGAAACACGTGCGCATGTACAGTGCAAAGCAGGAAACACGTGCGCATGTACAGTGCGAGGAAACACGTGCGCATGTACAGTGCAAAGCAGGAAACACGTGCGTATGTACAGTGCAAGGAAACACGTGCGCATGTACAGTGCAAAGCAGGAAACACGTCCGTATGTACAGTGCAAGGAAACACGTGCGTATGTACAGTGCAAAGTTAGGAAACACGTGGCCCGGTCAGCTTGCACTCCGGCTTACTCACCGGTAGAGGGCGACTGTAATCTATTCGATATTCTTTGGTTCTTTCACGCAGGTAGTAGAATAACTGCGTGATGAAAGCAAAGAGTATGGGTGGATTCCTGCAGTCACGAAAGCTTAAAATCAAAATCTATTCGGTGTTAAATAAATAAAAACCTTGCCGTCTGTAGGTCTAAAAATAAATAAAACATCGAGGCACGGTCGACAGCTGAGATTTGGTACGTAGGTCGCTTTAAAGACAAACAGGAGACATCTGAAAATCCGAGATTTTTTCATTTTCAGGCACCCAAATCTGGATTTTAAGCGCCCCATAAACATTTGTGCGTGTCGTTCAGAAAACGTTCGTAATATCACATTTCTGTTTTTGTTCGTTTGATAAGAGCATTAAACAGCAAATAGAGTTAAAGCGAGAACCATTTGTTCGACATTCTATTGTTTTTTGAGATATTTCGTATTCAAATGGGTTTGAACGAAAAAAATCCGCATTTTATGATGTTAAAATCTGAATAATTCGAAAACGGGAAAAGATAGGAGCTTCACCTCAGAGTATTAAGTTTATTCATTTTTGTTCTTTCTAGTAAAAAAATAACGGAATGTTTACATATTCTTTGGGTCTTTCGGTAAAGCCACGTAGATAGAAAAATAAAAAAATAAAAATATCACGACGTTTCGATCGCAACACAAGCAATCGTCATCAGGTGAAAAAATACAGCGAGAGAGCTGCTGAGGCAGGAAAAAAAAGTGATAGGAAATGTTTACATTGAGCGGTTTCCCATGGGCACGTCTTTAAATATAAGAAGTTGAATCAAGTCAACAATTTAGATTTATAGCTTTCGTGACTGCAGGGATTCATATTCTTGGTTCTCTCGGTAAAGTCACCACGTAGAAAGGGAAACAATAAAATAATAAAAAAAATATAAAACAATAAAAGTCAACAATTAAAGTTTTTTTTTGCGGAAAAAATAAACATTTTTGGAGTAGCTGTTAGAGTCTCATTGTAGATAAATAAGTAACATTTTTAAAAACTTAAAAAAAAACACGCTTTAATGAAATGTACCACGAGTCCAGGAAGTGGGCCCGAAGCTTGGACACGTGGAACCGGTGGTGATTTACAGCCAACGTGAGTTGAGCGTGGACAATTAAACCCAAGCCGAAACATATAACAAATGTTTAAAAATATGTATTTATTTTTGTATGATATAATATAGTATTGTCATCAGTATGACATAAGGACACCAAGTTTGCAGTCGATACCACACTGGGAAGTGGGTTAAAATTGAGTTGCAAGATTTGAGGATACAACAACAGAGTGAGTTAATAGAAAGCGTGTAATAATATAGCGAACAATCGTATCAGGTTCATTATTGTATTTCTCGTACACTCGAAAAAAAATCACCGATCAGAGATTTACCCCTCAATATGTGGAAGAGAGTGAGCGTGGCTTTGGCCTAAGGGGCGAATCTTTGCCCATACATCAGAATATTTATTTAGACGGCAGAAATCCGATGAGCTATGAAGCTCTTGTTGTTCAAAGATGTCCAGTCGGGGGCACGGGGTAAGCACGTGACAACAACAGTTACAAAAACACGCGGTGGTAGTGCAAAGTGCAAATTAAACAAATCACCCAAACACAAAAAAAGACAACACTAAACCATCACCATCCTACCCCAGACAAAGCCCACCAAGGTATTTTAACTTCTTGTTCCAAAGCGTCCTGGCCACAAACGACAGCTCAACAAAGTGGCTAATTATTTTAATAACACAGTGGCTAATTATTTTAATAACACTCAAAGCAGCAAAAACACATTCTCCTGCGGAGGGAGCTGGTAGGAACGTTGGGTTGCTCGGTCAATGGCCAGGGTCAACGGCGGCACCACCACGTGGTGTATTCCGCACAATGTGCCCGACTGTGAGGGCGGGCACAAACCAGCCCCTCCCCACCCAGCCCCACCCAGCCCCTCCCCACCCAGCCCCACCCCATCCAGCTCCACCCTCCCCACCCAGCCCCACTCAGCCCCACCCTCCCCACCCTCCCCACCCAGCCCCACTCAGCCCCACCCTCCCCACCCTCCCCACCCTCCCCACCCTCCCCACCCAGCCCCGCCCTCCCCACCCAGCCCCTCCCCACCCAGCCCCACCCCACCCAGCTCCACCCTCCCCACCCAGCCCCACCCAGCCCCACCCTCCCCACCCAGCCCCACCCAGCCCCACCCTCCCCACCCTCCCCACCCAGCCCCACCCTCCCCACCCAGCCCCTCCCCACCCTCCCCTCCCCACCCAGCCCCTCCCCACCCAGCCCCTCCCCACCCTCCCCTCCCCACCCAGCCCCTCCCCACCCTCCCCTCCCCTCCCCACCCAGCCCCACCCCTCCCATTTATGGACGCACGACGGACGGACGGACACAATAATCCCCTGTGGGCTGGTGGTGTAACCAGGAGGTTCCTACCAGTATCATATAGACGCAAAGTTTATACTTTTCAGATAGGGTCTTTTGGATCGTTAATCGCGATTAATTGTATTGATTACCGCTCAGTCGATCCATGATAAACAAACATCAACAACACCGGGTTCATTGTCACTTTTCGAGTTAAGGGACCGTCCATAAATGACGTCACGCACCTGGGGGAGGGGGGGGGTCAGACATTTGTGACGATGTGTGACGAGGGGGGGGGGTTTGAGAAGTGTGACTTCACATCAAAATGCGCAACTTTAAATAAATATAGACAACACGTTCTACTTAATTAAGTAGACTTTTTAATAAATGTTTTCTGCTACAACATCAGAATGCAGCGCCACATTAAATACGCACTACAATTGTTGACCATCGCGAACACGTGGCATTGTTAACCATCGCGAACACGTGGCATTGTTAACCATCGCGAACACGTGGCATTGTTTACTATCGCGAACACGTGGCATTGTTTACCACCGCGAACACGTGCCATTGTTTACCATCGCGAACACGTGCCATTGTTGACCATCGCGAACACGTGGCATTGTTTACCATCGCGAACACGTGGCATTGTTTACCACCGCGAACACGTGGCATTGTTTACCACCGCGACCACGTGGCATTGTTTACCATCGCGATTCCGGAATCGGTAGTGGGTTGTTTAAAAAAAATGGCAATGTCGGCATCGGAAGGCAGTGTCGTGCGCGGGTTATACGTTCGTCACTCTTGTCTCAAGGCGTAACAACAATAATAACAAAAACAATCGCCACTTATTGGCGGTTGTTTAGTTTGTACTGACGTGCCTGTGCTTAATTTGTGTTTGTATAATTTACCTTCTAGAATAAACCTGGCCACGTCTGGCACCCCCAGAAAGGGCATCACGCATTCCCAGGGGGTGCAGCGTGCACCCCAGGTTAAGAAGAGCCACTGCTATGGACTATACACTACACTATACACTACACTATAGACTACACTATAGACTACACTATACACTACACTATAGACTACACTATAGACTACACTATACACTACACTATAGACTACACTATAGACTACACTTACACTACACTATAGACTACACTATATAATACACTATACACTACACTATAGACTACACTATACACTACACTATAGACTACACTATACACTACACTATAGACTACACTATACATTACACTATAGACTACACTATACATTACACTATAGACTACACTATAGACTACACTATAGACTACACTATAGACTACACTACAGACTACACTATACACTACACTATAGACTACACTATAGACTACACTATACACTACACTATAGACTACACTATACACTACACTATAGACTACACTATAGAATACACTATACACTACACGATAGACTACATCATAGACTACACTATACACTACACTATAGACTACACTATAGACTACACTATACACTACACTATAGACTACACTATACACTACACTATAGACTACACTATAAACTATACACTACACTATAGACTACACTATAGACTACACTATAGACTACACTATACACTACACTATAGACTACACTATAGACTACACTATAGACTACACTATACATAACACTACAGACTACACTATACACTACACTATACACTACACTGTAGACTACACTATACACTACACTATAGACTACACTACTATAGACTACACTTAGGACTACACTGCTATAGACTACACTATACACTACACTATACACTACACGATAGACTACACTATACACTACACTATAGACTACACTATACACTACACTATACACTACACTATACACTACACTATAGACTACACTATACACTACACTATAGACTACACTATACACTACACTATACACTACACTATAGACTACACTACTATAGACTACACTATACACTACACGATAGACTACACTATACACTACACTATACACTACACTATAGACTACACTATACACTACATTATACACTACACTATAGACTACACTACTATACACTACACTATAGACTACACTATAGACTACACTATACATTACACTACAGACTACACTACAGACTACACTATAGACTACACTATAGACTACACTATAGACTACACTATACACTACACTATAGACTACACTATACATTACACTACAGACTACACTACACACTACACTATAGACTACACTATACACTACACTATAGACTACACTATAGACTACACTATACACTACACTATAGACTACACTATACATTACACTACAGACTACACTATACACTACACTATACACCACACTATACACTACACTATAGACTACACTACTATAGACTACACTATACAATACACTACACTATAGACTACACTATACACTACACTATACACTACACTATAGACTACACTATACACTACACTATACACTACATTATAGACTACACTACTATAGACTACACTATAGACTACACTACACGATAGACTACACTATACACTACACTATACACTACACTATA